GACACAGAGAGGTATGGTTTGTGTAGTTTTCTTTCAGTCCTAAAGGGACTGAAAAATGAGATAAGTGGAAATAGGTTTGACTGGATGCATGGCGTTTGTTCGGTGGCTAATTTAGGAGTTCAGATTTATATTCGTTGAAAAAGATGAGGGGTTCACAGATTCGCCTGGGAATTGAGGTGTCGTTCCGCGAATGAGTTTTGCCGTAGTGTATCAAACGTCGGTTTTTACTGTATTGTGTATTCCGAGAAACACGTGTGAAATAATGTCAATTCATTGTGACACATTTGCAGTAAAAACTAAGGCCTTCAAATGGCAACGGAATCACTTTACCAACGCGTTAGCTTGTAAATAATAGACGTCATCTTAAAAGTGGGATTCCTGGTAGTATAGTAAGACAACGGAAAAGTCTAGATTCCAACTGACGTCCACGTTCTGTAGTGATAGTAGAAGGACAGCCGAGGTTCGACGAAGGCGTGAGCCACAGTTTCAGTAATGGAGTCCTTGATAGGTACTGCTTCTGGTCATCATACGAAACGGTCTACACATGCTAAGACGTAAGAATATTAATTTGAATCTTGTATAGGTCCTACCAAATCAAGATGAACATGGTCGAAGCAAGCGTTGGGAGTTACAAAAGGTCCAAGCGACATTTGTTTTGTCTGATTACTCAAGGCTTTTGACAGCGCATGCAAAAACGTGTATGCTCACTCATGTCTTTATTCGAATTTGGTTAGCAAAATAGTTCTGCTATGAGCTTTATGGTTGCTCAACATTTGGTATGGAGAGAAGGCAAATTAGACCCAATTAAACTATAATACAACATTGCTGAGGCCGACTAAAGAAATGCGACTTGTTATTATTCCTCATTTTCACCTAAACTCTGTCGACTAATTTTCACCTATGTTAACCCATCTTTCTAATAGTCTGTATTGTGTTATGATATTTATTAGTGCTCAAACCTTACTAGCTCAGTCGATACTAATAACTGACCACTTTTATTTATGATTAGCTATGATGGTGCATTTGTATAATAGTGTTATTTTTTGTACTGCTCTAATAGTAGGCCTAATCCTAAAATTATAGTTTTATCATGATGCAACTGCCTAGTTCATATAATCCTACATGGAAGTCACATCGTTGTCTACACTAACTCACCATAGATAACAATCACCAACATGTGATAGAGAACACATTTGGGTTGGGGATAGGACAATATATTTAACATGAACAAAAATGATGTTTAACCCTATTCTAAACTGCGGGAGATCGCCTAATATCTTTTCTTTCAAACACTGCCTGTCTAATTCCCAATTTTCGAGTTCCATTGCCAAAGAACGAAGACAATATTCCAGAAACCTTTGGTGGGTTTAAGCTATAAGGCTTCTGCAAACTCAAGCTCATTTCAGATTGTTCGTATGGTGAGGACTAAGCATTGATCTGGACTCTCAGATTTGTACTGAATAAACCGAAAAACAATGTCAACAGCATACACATCCCTGAATTAGTCGCAATATTGCGTATTCAGTCTGGTTACTTTCGGGTCCTCGCTATATGTCACAGTTAGCATTCTATACATCAGATTTATTGGATCATATAAATTTCCGAAATAATGCGGGCGGATTTTACTATTTCCACAGACGATTCGCCACGCTCTCGATACTTCTTAACATGTACATATTTTTGTTTGGTCTATTCATATATATTTCATATAAACCACCTTAAAAACGGCTTACTACATAAAAATATTCAATGGCTTTATACGACAGTATACTGCCATGGAAACGTGTTTTCAGGCAAATCATACTAGATTCAACATCAGTCTGACATTTCTTAGTACTACTTACCATTGACACATATTTATGAATGTCACTGGGCTAATTACAGTAACTGCTTATGAAAAGTTTATATTTTCTCCATCAAGTTCCTAAATGTAGTGACATACGTCATGAATAAACTTTTAAATTCTATTGTTGGGTTTCTCAAATTTTATGTTCCACATCAACTTACACGTCAACCTAACTTGCACATACATTATATTATCTCTGCGCCGTTTAAATTTAGTGATTATTAGAATCACCTTTAACATTTTTCACTGAACCCATCGTGGCACATAAGTTTATTTGATTTCAGAAACTTATACTCACTCAATTTCATACGAACCGATCTATATATTATCTCAAACTTGATGCTTGAAACTGACTCGTATGCAGCACCGAACATTATGTGTGAAAAGAAAAAACTGCTTTATTGCCAATCAGAAAATTGAGTCTAGAGCGTGTCTATCACGGGTATACTCACGTTCAACAAACTATCGTCAGCTATCTATCCAAAATTCCCATAATTGTCGCTATTTTTATGAATTAAATGAATTTTTGATAACAGTCTATATATTTTAGCAATAATATTAATATCCCCGTAACCAAATAAACCGCATTAAACATAGCAAACTAACTGGAACACTAGTCGGAATTATTCCTCTCAGCGGTTATACTTCTGTTTATTCCGTTAACCTATTATTGCAGGTGCAATCGGAAATCGAATCATACGCATAGCGTACCTGCGTAGATGTCGAATGGCTTTCTAGTCTGCATCAAAAATAATACTAATATCAACATTGATACAACATTGATGTTTCTCTATCTCTAGCCAAAAAATACTTATACTACCTGTCAGATCCTTTTCGATTGTTTTGTATATGAAAACCCCTACACGTATACACTTGCAACTTATTCCTCTTGGTTCCTTCAAATACACACTTTGTCAATCTTTCTAATTCGATTTGAGTTGGTACCATTCGTATTGTATTGCAGTTTTTGTTTTCCTTTCGCCCTCACTGAGTTTTCATGATTATCATGAACTACAATTATGTTGTTTTAGTTGACAGCTAGTTATGGCGACAACCATATTGATTCGCTCCCTCTTTTGATTGTGTAGATTGCTTTGGCTAGAATTGTGTAGTTTTTTATTGTGAATCGAAGCACTCATCCATAATTGGTGACTCTCCGTGTTATAACACAATTAAATATTACCTTTTGAATGAACCTGTATGTAATGATAGAATAACGTCCATTTGTTGTACTTCATCTGACTACTGATTGAACACTTATTCGTTGGAAAACTGGATGGTAATATTTGTTTGATAATAACAGTTTATTCTCGAGTAACAGTCTGTGACATGATTTACATCAGTTTACAGGCAAGATGAAATTGTTATAGAAAAGATCAAATTGTTAGAAAATTTATTCATCCATCTACCTTGTTTTGATTTCAAATGGGCGATAGCGCGAATCAAAACTATCTGAATAGTTATTCTTCATTTCAAATCTAGTTTATTCTATTAACCAGTGGCTATTACTATGCATCTTCATATAACTTGTTTAAATATCTCGATAATAAATCGTTCTTCATTGTCATAATCCCACCCTGTTTAATTCTTAAATAACCTTTGCGTGGATTTTCATTTTAAGCGTGTTAAGAATCATACCAAACATATTTGAAATTACTTGTATTTTCTGAACAGTTGCTGCAGCCTCCTTTTTTATTTATCCGTCATTTCATCAATAACCAGGGGATTTTATTGCCATTTTGGTAACTTCCGGCGCACGACAACTTCATTCAGTTTGGTGTCGAATTAATGTCACGTTGATTCTGGTGGGAGAGTAGTGTAGTGGTATTGATTCCTAACCACATGATCGTTTGAAGCCAAGTAAATAATTACCGAAAAGATCAACATTCGATATGTAACACCTAGAGACGATCAAAGTTGACGAGCGCGAGAAAAATTGATCGCTGTGGCACAATTCAGCTTTGTACGCATGGTCATTATATGTAGCTTATCCCTATTCGCATCAAATATATTATTCAGATGTGTCTGGGGCGATATTAGTGGGTGCTTTGATGTCCTGGTGTGAGAGCATAGTCGCTTTTGCTCATTTTCACATTTCCACAAAACTGGTCTGTCAAGGGTTTGTAGTGGCATTGGACCCTGGCCACATGACCTTTGAAGCCGAGCATATAATTACTGAAAAGACGTATACTCAAAAACTGACACGAAGTGAAGGTTAATTATGAAAAGCGGGAACATTAATTCAGTTCAATCGTATGACATGGCTAAGCATTGCAGGCGAGGTTATGGTACTTAAACTCGTGGCAAAATGTGCCGCATTAGCCAGAATCCAGCGCTTCTCATAGTGAACCAACTGGATAAATCGAAAACGACACCGTTTGGTTGCAATCTCTTCGTAAAGATATCTTTTCGTTGCCTAACAACCATGTTTTGCATAAGTAAACTACTTTAGGACACTGCCGCATCAGGGAATCCCATTTTGGCAGTTGTTTGCTCTGTACCGACATAGGTATCTGCGCGTTGTAGAGATTTTGCTGAGCGCTGAATGAGGAGTTTATGTAGACTACTGTCGTACTATCTGTCAATTATATGTCGTCATTATTTAGCTAAGAATCTCCAAGGTGAAATTTATTAATATTGACATCCCTGATGAGCCAAATTTTATATCAAACCATCACACTCTGACGTATACCATATAATACATTATTTTCCGTCACAACTTTCCCACATTACACAACAATTTGATCATCGAAAGCGTAAGTGTTGAACTCAAACCCAAGCTTCTCGTTGCCAAACTGTTCAGTAATCGGTTGTATGGTAGTCATCGAAAATTAACTTTGATTCACCAGTCTGAATTGATTTCCATAAGTTGTGAGACAGTTGTCACGAATCAAGTGTAATCGGTACTGTACCCAAATAGCTTAGAGTTACCTAAAGTAAACTTGGTTTGAAAGATAGGAAATAAGAGTATACGTAGTCTTATACTATAACCGTGTTGTAATCAAGATGGGTCTTTGTAGAATGTGCTTTCGCCGGTCCATTTTTTGTGTGGTTACGTCCTACATCCTTGCTTCTTGATATCTGCATCAATCACGAGCGATTAGTTTTAGTGGTATTCTCATATGACTACTTGTCCCAGGTAAGCGTAGTTAATATGTGTGAGTTTATTTGGGAAACTTATCGACGCTTGGAAATACCGATAGCTATTGAAGTATGCATGAATCGTGTTTCGTTTAGTTTTTAAGTTTTGGCAATATCTGATGGATAGCTAGTTACTTCCAAAATATGGTAAATAATGACTGAGTCGCATTCACTGCATGCTTTTGGGGGCCAGAGACAGTTATTGAACATTATAATGTTAATCAAGAAAAGTTAACTAGTTGACATTAGCTGGACACCAGAGTATTGAGGATTGAATAGTAAAGCCGCACTTTTTCAGAATAACGCTAAGTACGTTTGCCAGGGTAAGTCGTCGTCCTTCTCCCTAGCTTATTTCTGAGAAATAAGTGCGTTTAGTAGTGTTTGTACTGAATATAAACAATTTTAGACCGTAGATTATGTGTTTGTTCATCGCGCTTGGTTCAGATTCTGTGTATATACAGATAGGTTAAAAATGAGACTTGAGAAATACGTAGTCATGGATTAACATCTCCCACTTTGAATAGTTTTACCCATCAAACGCCCTCTAACGTATCTACCGTTATCATTATCAGCTTGTCCCTTTCCCGCCTCTACGATCTCCATTTATCTATGGTCCCTACACTTATTTTTGCTCACACTGCATTAATATTTTATTAATTCATTCATTAGTTTACCTCTTCGATTACTCATCATTTATTGAATTTTCCTCACCCAGACCTTTTATTTTTTAGTCATGACTATGCGGCTTCCTCTCAGGTCATTTAATATATGTTTGTTCTAGAAATCCCAGCCCCCAAATACCCTGTTGCGCCCGAGAGTGGAGAGAGTCAGCTCTCCCTCTCGAAATGATCTCACATGATCACGTAACACTGCCAGGAAAGTCTTATTTGCTGCCTTCTCGCGGCATTACTGTCGTTTACGAATTTGAGAAGACGAAAAGCGAATGTCCGTCAGGCGCTTTAACCGGGTTAGTGGTATGGAAGATCCATCTAGGGGAGTTGGAAAATCTTGATTCCAGACCAATTGTGCGCGTCGGCTCCAGGATACTAAAGGGACAGGTGGAGTATGAACCAACAGTTGGTCACCGGCTGCCATGGGACTGCATCTCCTTATGATGCTCCACTGCTTTTTTCATTAGACCTTTAGGTCACAGACTCGGGGAGTGTCTCCCTAAGAAAACCACCTGCTTCGGTTACGGCCACCGGACAGTGTCCCAGCCTTCACATGAATCGAATGACTTATGTGGCGCATATCTTTATGGTGCCTTCTTGTATCTATGTTTATGTATTTAAATAAATAAATAAAATAAAATACGAATAATTATCAAACTAATTAGAGCTATCGCAGTTAACTGGTTAAACTCCTTCCTATTGGACATTACCGGAGATTTGAAGCAGTACAGAAGCAATAAGAGACTATCGCAACGAAATTAACCGGTTTGAATTGACTCGTCACGGTGTTGGATATTGAAACCACGTGCGTAAAATACATGGACCTTTGAGGGACGCTAAAGTGAACTTGATAAAACACCTACTTATTAGGATTGTAAGAGGGTATAAAGAGAGTATAAAGAATTAATACTAAGATACCGGGTTTAAAGTTAGAGTCAGGAATGAGACTTAGGCGTTCATCAGGAAATGACATCAGCAATAATGTCAAAGTGCTATTTGGCCAAATGTATGAATGATTTTCGCCTCAAAATTCAAGACTATCCTTAACTGCATTGGCTCATCCTTAAGTTATAGTCTCGTCATTACATTTTTGTCAAAGAACTGGATTGGATATCAAAAAGTTACATAGTAGTCTCCTCTTGGTATCCGAGTGTAGTGATCGCTTTAAATTTCAGAGGAAACGAAGGGCCTTCACATGATTCGCGTGACACTGTTGGAGACTTTGCTCTCCCTCCTCCCATCATCTGACCCGTTGACGATGTACGATGTTCTATCCTCTAAATGCTTTTGTTGACTCAATCACATACAGAGAGCTTTCCAAGGAAATGACCAACAGCTACATAGACTGGTTATACCAAACTTTGCAATGGTACTTTCCTGTTGAATAGTGCAGCGTAGAAGGATTAATAGTTACCTAAAAACCTCGAAAGATCCTCTTATTGGGGTGGATAACGGTTTGACATTGGTCTCAGTAGTTCAGTTGCACTGTCTATCGTTGATTTCTTAATTCCTGAGATTTGTGTCATTCCATACCTTTCATTATTCAGTTTGATTTGTTCGTTTTATGTTTAGGTCCCATTGCAACAAGTAGTACTAGCCAACTACTTGTGCTCGGTTTTATTTTCTGCTCTCCATAAAATAATGTGGATTATGCTAGCTTAGACCGATATAAATCCATCCCGCTTTCTACTTTGTCGTTAACTAACCAACTAACTGAAATGTGTAACAATGTTTAAGATTTCGGATGACGAAAAAAACTGCATGAGACTTTCTAATATTCTTATCTGATTGTCGCAGTGTATGGTGACTAATTTTTCTGAAGTATCCAGACCGGATAGTGTTTTAATCCTGCTTCTTCTTACGGTTATGACCCAGCTATTCCTATTGCTTAGTATTCTCGGACACCGATTCACTCGACAAGTCCCCAAATCAAAACACGGTTGAACAGGAAAAAGATTATATTCCGAATAGCAAGTCAGAAGCCAGTAGGAAGCACAATAGGGAAAACGTCGGTATATTTAAAGTTTTTACATAAGAAGATTCTAGAGTCTTCTCCAACTATCGACCGGCGCTGATTGGATAAGAATTAGCCAATCAGCGTGCACCAAAGCAATCATGCATTGAGCATGCTTTAATCTAGTCTATGTCCCGCTAACAGATAGGATCTTTGTTTTGGGAATCCACATCACAAACTTTAAACCTCAGTAATTAATCATATCGGACCAGTAGCAATTTTCATATCATCTGGTTCCTAGGAACTAAATAGTCAATTAGGCATTGTTCAACTCAAATTCAAGTTTATCTACTCAGAAATCTAGGACATTTTTATTGGCGATGAGAGTCGCTTGAGTAAACACACTGATAACTACTGTTATGAAAGATTTTATTATTTGTAGTAAGGGTATGTGGATTGTTAGACAAACAGTGCTAAATAATCAATGGACTCGAATGTTACGGTGTGGTCGAGTAATAGACACTTATGAGGGAAGACTATTGACACGAACACCTAAATAAACTGCTATCCAAAACAAGGGTATCAGCTGCAAAGTAAGTTTTTTGTAATAGAATTATTTACTTGTATGCGCTGTGTTTACCCAATAATAAGCATGATTAGATACTTTAACCGAATGAAAAATAGCAGTTTTTCATATCACTCATTCGCCAACAAACCAACACCTGTTTAACTTAATTCTTGACGATCATATCTAGCACTACTGAGGGGGTTATATTGTCCGGAGGAATGTTACTTTCTGCCTAGAATTTTCGTAGATTAAGCTATTTATACAGACTAATTCAATGACTAACCTTATCACATACATCACTTACCGTCTTTTTTCTCTCAATTTTCAGGGGTATTAAATTAATCATTATATTCCGTAGTAAAAGTTATTCTATTATCGTTTGTATGGCAGGTTTCATTACTACCGAATTACTGTTGGATATTATCCCATGCTAACATATTTTCACTTACTTTTTTATAGGCATGATGGACTCCAGAGATGAAGTTGTCTTAGCTTTGACAGATGATATGGATACTGGTTCATCTTCGGACGGACCTCATAGCCCATCAACACGACGCTCAGCTGTAATCGGTCATTTCCTCTTCCGTTCTTCTGCTTTGATTATATATATACTATGCGCTTGGTTTACAACGTCTTTCGTTCTTCCGTTTATCTTTATACTTGTTTGCTTATCACTCGATTTTTGGGTTGTAAAAAATATCTCTGGGCGTATCTTAGTTGGTTTACGTTGGTCGAGTTATACTGATGACGCCGGAGTGGTACATTGGCGATATGATTCACGTAAACCTTCACCTATAGATTCTGCTGATGTTTCTTCCCTTAGTCGACGTGAATTAGCCGCTCGTATGGCTAGACAACAATTATCTCGTTTATTTTGGATTGGTTTAATTGCAAGTCCAGCAATATGGTGTATATTTTTCTTGGCGTCATTATTTTCATTGCATATTCGTTGGGCTTTTGTCTGTACCATTGCTTTGTGTATGAATATAGCAAATGTTTATGGTTATATTCGTTGTTGGATGTCTAATATGAATGAAAGTGAATCAAATATTTTAAAAGTAATCAAATCTACAGCGACTAGCAAAATGTCTAATTTATGGCCTTCATCTCAAACTAAATCCAATCTAAATAACACATCTGGAAGTGGTCTACCATTAGTTGCCTAGCAAAACAAACACACATCTCACGTATTCCTCTATACATAATGTAAAAAAGAGAGACTAAGTAAATATGTTCTGATTTTTAACTGTGATATAACCATAAAAAATGCACCTTATTTCTGATTATGCATCTTACACTTCTCAATTTTGTCGGATATTTAATATCATAAAAGGAAACAATACATGGTGTAAATGTAATGTCAAACATGTAGGTACTTGGAAAAGAACAGAGTATATTTTCTATTTAGATTAATGTAATCAATTGTTTCCATTGTGTGAGATGAATTCAATTTTTAATATTGCTAATTGTATATGTTTCCTAAATAAATAAACATCTACTTAGTTACAGAAAGAAAAAAATATCCATCAGGCTTTTGAAGGTAAAGTACTTAATTCAGTCATCAATAGGATTGGTAAACAATCCATATGTTAATGGTTTTTGATGATGCAAGTTTTCTTTTTGATTTCAAATTCTTGTTATGATTATTTCCAGTTTACTTGTATTTGGGTTTTCATGTAACAAGTGTTTATTCCTCCCATCTCTCTCTATCTCCTATTTTACAGTAGTGAAACATGACCGGGAAGAGTAGAGGATTTTTATAGGTTACTAGTATTCGATCATAGGTGTCTTCAAAACATTGATCGTATATCCTGGGACTAACGAGTAAGTAACGCAGTTGTTAGGAAACGGATACTAGGTAAGGATGGCAAATCAATTGATGAAGTAATAAAACTTCATCAGTTGAGATAGCTGGGATATATGTTACTTAAGCCCAACCACCGACTGCCCCGACGTGCGATATTTTATGGTGTAGGAGTAGGTTGGAAGAAAGTTAGGGGTGGCCAAACCAAAACATGGCACAAATTCATGAAATCATTGACAGGTGAACTGAGCCATGTTGGTAGGTATAGAATAACTGGTTGGGATCCGTGAGACGATAGCAAGTGATGGTTAGAGACCTTGAATGGCATGGCTCAAAATCGTTTCTAATGGTGTAGGTGTATCCACTCTTTGTGTTCTCCCAAATTCTAATTTTCTGGATCTTTCATGTCCCTTTTTTTCTCTTTCCAAATTTATTTCACTGGATTATACTGTTTGAATAACATCTTCCAATCCTAATCTTCCCGATTATTGCTTAAACTCTTACTACCTCTACCACTATGTGGTCTGAATCGACGATTGTATCTGTGTGCTGATGTGGTATGGCAAGGTGAACTGATGTATGTACGTACGAAGTTCTACGTTGTTGTTGACTGATTGACTCTCCTATGTGTGGGTCTGATATGAAAGTTATCTCAGTTATTACGAAAAAATTACATGACAATAGGATAGTATTTTCTGTAACGTTCACTTCTCACCAACATTTTCTGTTAAGAAAAGGAAGCATAGTGGAAGTTGACACATTTGGTTATAAAAATAAGGTCAATTCATTGTGAAATCGTGACTAATAAATGTTCATGATTTCTGTTTTGAGCGCTTCAGAGTTTACCTTGACATCTTATTGCTAATTTATAAGTACTCATTAGATTTCTCCAAAATGGTTAATACTGTTCTGATGTAATTTGAGAAGTATTTACTCTGAACTATTGAATGTCCTAGATCAGTTGTTTGGCATGATAACGTCACTGAACATTCATTTCCCTCTAAAATCCAAGGGGAAACTGTTTCGTCTATTCCTGGAACTCCGTGGTTGTGTACAGACACGGTCCCATTAGGTAAGCTCCAGGTATTGCTGTGAGCACAATACACTAGTCCAACTATTTTAACAGCTTATTTATGATATAGTTTAATCCTCCGAACGTTTTTGGCTGTACAAGCCATAAGTTTCAACCAGAACTGTGAAAACTCAATATTCGTGCTCACATCATGTAAAAATACTTGAAAAACTTGGGGATAAGCTGGGCTAGGGATAGTCTCGATAGCTTGTGAGTCTGATCGCAAATCAGAGGATAGCTGCTTGAGTTGCCACACGAACGTTTCGGTATCAGTTCTTGATATATCAGCTCCTTACTTTAATTGCCTTATCCATTGGGCGTAGTGATATATTCTAATTTTATGTTAGCCTTTTCTAACTACCTACCGTTGTGAGAAGGCGAAACCACTAGAGATGCTGGTTTCCTAAGGGAAACATCTTACTGCCGTCACAATAACCTTGAGAATAAATGCTAGACGGAGGTAAAACTATTTAATTTGATCGATGAGGTACTTCGTGCATGAATATGCTTCGGCACTTTGGTTGTATGAAGGCGAAAAACAAATGTCTCAATGAAATTAAATAAGGGATAATGAAAACAATGTGATTGTCAAAGGTAATTAAACTATACAACGTATTGCTTTATAAAAACACAAAAAGAGGCTGTTGTAAGCCCATTGAAACTTCTATTATATACTACTGTAATTTAGACATTTAACCCATTATATGTAGTTATATGTGAGCTTGGTCGAACATATATCTGCACATCAATCTTCATTTACCCTCCGATTGGTTATTTACACAGTCAATCAATAAATTACCCACAATTGATTAACACCTATAAAATATATATGGATTTTTCGATTCTGTCTTCCCAATGTGCTTGCCTTTCGTATGCTTGTGGATTTTATTAATTATTAACAATACACTAACTATCCCAACAACTAGTGTTCTGTTCTAGCTTTCGAATATTCTCAAGTCAATTCATAGTAATACTACTAGGATAATTGGCCTACTAAAATACTCATTTAATGGGATATCATCTATTAGAGTCGAATAGAAGGAAATTAGCCTTTACAAGACCACAGCAAGATCGCTTATGTGGTCCATTCAAAGTCGTGTATGGTAACACATCTGAAGTCATCGAACTGCATAATTTCAGAGACTCAGTACAAACGGATGTGATAAGTAAACATATCAACCTAGTCACCCTTTATTTCATGTTGATGTCATTGACTGATCACCGTTTTTCCAACCAATCTCAGCGTTATCAAATAACGTTATTAGTTCATCATCCACAATACTTTTTTAAATAACCTCACCTGAGATTAAGGTTGAGCTATAAGCTGTACTATACACAAGCATATATATGGATCTTTGGTTACAGATACAGTGTTGTCGCTGAATAGGAATAATCCTTTAGTGATGACAAAGCGTGAATACTTGTCATATATCATCTGCGTCTCACGAGCTTGAGGTAGGAATGCTCTCACATCATTGTGCAATTGACTGTAATGCTCAAGTTAAGGATACAGTGTATGTGACAGTCGTTTTAGGATGTCATCAATCTCTGATTTTCAGCGTAGATTGGTATTATTTGCCAGAAGATTATTAACAATCAAAATTACCCAAGTACACCAACCTTTTCACTGTTTTAAGAGTTGCTCATTATGGAGACTACATGTATACAATGGTTTTAGTGTACCATGTACTAGTTCTTTGGTGTGACATTAATCTAACTCTTACGAAAACTGATCATTGATTGAATTTGTGTAACGTATATAACAGCTGAAGTTTAATTAAATCTATGTGATAGGATGAGATTAGACAGCAAAATTACATTTCGTCTATTCGTGATTTATATTCAATATTACTTTCGTTTTCTTAATTCAACATGATAATTACACAGTATAGTATTTGTTTGGGTTTCCAGTATGATAATTTATTCGATATAATACTGATTTATCTAAGTGTAATGTTTGTTCAATATATAATATTCTTGTATTAAATCCACATAAACTATGCTTAGCATGATATACTACATGGGGTTTGTTATAAATTTGGGTATTTTTTATTAAAATGGTTGAGATCATGAGTCAATTGAAGCTAGACAACCATGGGAAACCTGAAAGCACTGGACGTCCGTTTCGTCCTAGTATGGGACTCCTTAGCAGTACGCATCCACGATCCCGCCTCGTGAGATTCGAAACCAGGACCTATCGGTCTCGCGCGCGAGCGCTTAACCACTAAATCACTGAGCCGGTATGCAACTGTGTTAATGTCTAACTTCAACTAATCCACGAAATTGAGCGACACATCCACCATTGTCATCAGTGAGTTACTATCTCACAGCTGATATGGTTGAACTCTACTGGTTACTGCTTCTCACTAGAACTCTAGGAAATACCTCTTGAAGTCAGTCACTAGTGGGCGTATGTTGATTCATATCAAAAGGGGTTTTATATGGATATTATAGTAATTTCAATGGTTGAGATCGTAGCGTGGGGTCGAGTCGCGATTGACTATGATCACCACCACAGGAAGATTACGTGCCAGTTATTAGATTGGATCCCTCCATAGGCCGAAAACCAGAAGACAGTTGATGGTTGTGATAAGGTATATTTGTTGGCAATTTCGTGGTATCGAAATAATATTGAGATCGTTCCAAAGTTTACAAGCGGGACTACTGAGCGTACGCGAGTCCGTGCAAGGTCACAGTTAACGGGAGAGTGTTTTTAGTACACTTAAACAGACAGCTTTATTACAGTCCTGTCGAACAATTGAACGACAGTTTTGGTGTCGATGAACTAGATGACATTGGATACGATGATTGAATTACATCCCTAAGCTTTTAATTAGGATAAAAAATCTGCTTTTTCCTCGAAATTTATTACAAAAAAGACTTGAGAAATGTTACTGAAATTTTCAACGCGGCAAAACTATAATTTATGGACGAACCAATCAGATTTAGGATAACAGGTCATGGATTTTTAAGCAAAGATGGATAGTGGCTAGCAGTGGAATCCAGGACGCGCGTTTCGTCCTATTTGGGACTCGTCAGTTGGATGTACCTGCATCCCACAGTTGGTGTTTGCTCCGGGATTCGAACCCAGTACCGTTCGCTCCAAACAACACCTAGTGGATTTAAACTTCACCCCGTTGCACAAGCAATCAGCTATCAGTACTCAGTAGCTAAGTGAATAACGTGATGGTGTTTGAGGCGAACGGTACTGGGTTCGAGTCCCAGAGTGGACACCGACTCTAAGATGCAGGTACATCTATCTGACGAGTCCCGAATAGGACGAAACGTGCGTCCTGGATTCCACTACTAGCCACTATCTATATTTGCTTAAAAAGCTTGCGACTTAAGGCTATATCGTGGTAATCCGCACAGGATGTACATATGCCAACATGCGACTGATCAATTGCAGTCCTAAATAACAGTGGGAAGTTACAAGTAAAATGACACCGAGGTCATGGATTTTGGTGTAAAATTCACTCCTCCATTTGGCTAAATAGAGTTTTGGAATTATAGCTGATGTCAGTTTGTGATGAAAACTCTAAATCTAGTTCCCAACCTTAACCATCAACTGTAAATCATAATTGTAACTCCTCATACTGGTTTATAATCCTCATTTAGTCCTAGTTAGTAGGTGGACACATTATGAAGGTCACTTTGGCGTCGCTCAAACGTCTTCCATAAATTATAGTCTCACCTTCAACTTTAATTTGAATGGATATTTACCGATTAGAATGTTTATTTTAACCGGTAATGATATCAATGGACTTGATAATGTATAAGCCAAGATTATATTATGTCTATGATGGATTTTACCGATAGACAAATAAAGTAACATAACTAGTTAAAAATAATGAATATTGACTAGCTCACATTCATACTTTTGATTTGATGTAGGAGATTTGTAACTTTAGAGGATAACCTTAACTAAAGTCATCAGAACAAATTGCCAGTCGTATGTGGAGAAATTTGAATACTGGTGAACCTGTCTAAGAAGGTAATGTAAGCTTAACCATTGGACTACACAGCTCAGAATGCAACTCTACTAAAATTCATGCTTTTTCTTGACTGATAGCAAGTCATTCTATAATAATAATAGGGAAAAAAAATGCTGAATTAAGGTTATCAGTTTCAGCATTTCACATTGATAACTTTCAAGTTTAGACGATTATATTTTATGTTGGATAAATGTTTAAGGTATGTGTCATTTGCTTTGTAGTGACCTACTTTTATCAAGAGAACGCGATTGGTTTAATGGAAACAATTATTAATTATAACCAATTGTACCGGTGATTGTTTTACTGTGCTCATTTGTTTAACTGTACCAAAATACATACATTCTTCCTTTGATTGTGGCCTTGCACGAATTCGGTCACGCTCAGTAACCACACTTTTACTCCTTTGGCACGATCTCGGTATTCTTTCGATACCACGAGATCGCCAACAAATACATCTCGACTACAGTCATCAACTGCCTTCTGATATTTGGCTTACGGGATATCTTATCGGTTAACTGGAACGTAGTCTTCCTGTAGTGGTGATCATAGTCAACCGTGACTCGACACCACACTAGAGCTTCTCGTTGTTAAGATGTTCCACTGCGATATTTGAGTTCCAATAAGACTGTCGACAGTTACTATAATATCAGAGGATTTATTCGATAAGATCCATAATATCTTGAAGTTCACTATAAATTATTATTATACATAATGAATAAATCTCTCATCGAGGATATTTTGTCAGTAATGGTAACTGACTGTTCAAATGAGCTGTAATAATAGGTAAAAGCCAGCTGGTTGGGACTTGGACAATACTCATAACCAATGATTGGGTGACATGGATTAGAGTTGGTCACCATGGCACAAATACATATACTCTTTGTGTTAAACAATTTTCATTCTTCTCGAATTGTACCATGTATGTATAATAAATTTTCGCTACAATTAATACTGTTAATACTTTAAAATTTGTCTTGATAGTTTCACCTCGTTATTCTTATTCTGTGTTGTAACATGAACTAGATTCTACAGTATTTACGACTGAGTGACCGATTTTGTTGATAATGTGTCTAAAAGCTGTTCACTATCGATGATGAGTGTGGTGTGTGCTACTGATATCGATAGATATAAGTAGTATGTATTATCAATCAAAAGTGAAATGCCTGGTGGTAGAAGTTTGAGGAAATCGAAGAGAAGAGAACGAGTACAGAGAATAATTGGTATGGAGGAAATGAGGGATAAACAAAGTTTGAGACAATTGATAGATATTTTACAAATGAAGTATTATTGTTTGGTTGTCAGATTTTACCAAGACATTCTGTAATGTTAAATTAGGATATAGTTGGTTGTCCTCATTAGTGTTATCATTCACTACGATCATATTACTGATAATGAGAACAGATGAAATGACTATTTCGTAAATACTCTGCATATATTGCAAAGGAAAGTTCACTATTCATAAAATTACTTATCAATATAATCGGTTTTTACGGAAACAGTCAGTCAGTCAGTCAGTAACAACGTCGAACTCCGTACGTACGTACATACATCAGTTCGAGTTACCATACCACATTAGCACAGATATGCAGTTGTCGACCGAAATTCCGTAGTGGTAGAGGTGGTAAGAGTTTAAGCAGTAATCGGAAAGATTAGAGTTTGAAGATGTTATTCAAACAGTATAATCCAGTGAAATAAATTTGGAAAGAGAAAAAAGAGACAAGGAGAATTCAGAAGATTAGAATTTGGGAGAACACAAAGAGTGGATGCACCTATTCAAACCATTGCAAACGATTTTGAGCCATGTCATTCAGGGTCTCTAACCATCAGTTGCTATCGTCTCACGGATCTCAACCAGGTAGTCTACACCTACCAACATGGCTCATTCCACTTGTCAATGACTTCATAAATTTGTGCCGTTTTGGTTTGGCCACCCCTAACTTCTTTCCAACCTACTCCTACACCATAAAATATCGCACGTCGGGGCAATCGGTGGTTGGGCATACGTAACGTATATCCTAGCTATCTCAACTGATGAAGTTTTATTACTTCATCAATTGATTTGCCATCCTTACGTAGTATCCGTTTCCTAACAACCGCGTTACTTACTCGTTAGTCTCAGGATATATGATCAATGCTTCGAAGACACTTATGATCAAGTATTAGTAACCGTTTTACGGAAAAATCAATCGAGTGATCCTGCTTTATTATTATTATTAATGTATAAAACTTGTGTGTAAACTGTTTGATAAATAGTGACAATTTTACACTGAAATTATCATATATGTGTGACTATAGGAAAAGAAAAGTGATGAACATTTCTGGCTATAATAAATGTACAAAAATACATAAGTAGTATATAACGCTAGTCAGGAATAGAGTATCTCACAACAGAAGGTCAATAAGATCGAGAAAAAAAGAACAAGAACAAAAAGTAATTGATATGGAAATGCCGAAACCATGAAGTCTGATATGATTGTTTGACATTTTGCAAAAAAAAAATTCACTGTATGCTTCACAGATTTTACTAAGAGATACTGTAATTCTGATTCAAATACATTTGGTTGTTCCCACTTATGTTCTCTTTCATTTACATTAGGTATCATTGCCAACAAGGAGTGATGAAGTGTGCTGTTCTGTGAACGTTGATTTAGGCCTAGAATTGAGATGCTAATTGATGTGATGTGTGCTATTTATATCGACATATAACACTAGTCAGGAAGAGAATGATTTTCCCAGGAATATCATTAGAGTGATCCTGTTGTATTATTAATGTATTAAACTTGTATGTAAACTATTTGATAAATAGTGACCATTTCACATGGATATCATCATATATGTGTAACTATGGCAACACAAAACTGTTAAACTATTCTGATTATAATAAACGTACAAAAATATGTGAAAAATTAAAAAAAAAATTTTTCGGAAAAAAAGAACAAAAAAAACTGTATCACCTAGAATATTCCATCATTTCAATATTCATTAGGCAAATAAAAATGAAAACAGTAATAGAGATGTTTTTTCTTTTCTTTGTCATAACAAAGAAAAACAAAGTAGAAAAGAAAAAAAGAAACGAAAAGAAAAAAGAGAAAAACAATCAATATTTACAAAACAATAAAAAAACATGACAGATCTCCTTATTTCACTATAATCATTACTGATTATAAATAAGTATCCAGTTATCTATCTATCTATCCATCTATATAGTTCCCTTTAGTTAGAAGATCTAGTTGAGTTTGAATATTGAATATTGAACATTTATTGATTTTGTTCTAATGATGAAACCTGTGAAAAATTAACGAAAAAAAAAGTAACTAGTGTCATGTAATCAGTTTGAATAATAAACTTTTCACAGATTGAAATCATGAGTCAATTGAAGGTAGACTATCATGAAAAACCTGGAAGCACTGGAGGGCCGTTTCGTCCTAGTATAGGACGCCCCAGCAGTGCACACCCACGATACCGCACCCTGCGAGATTCAAGGCTAGAACCTATCAGTCTCAAGCATGAGCGCTTAACAACTAGACCACTGAGCTGGCATCCAATGGTGTTAATGTCTGACTTCAACCAATCCACGACGTTGCGCCACCGTACACCATTGTCTTCAGTAAGCTGATATCTCACAACAGACCTGGTCTAGTTGGTTAAGCGCCTGGCTCGAGACTGATAGGTCCTCGGTTCGAATCTCGCGGGGTGCGGGATCGTGGATGCGCACTGCTGAGGAGTCCCGTACTAGGACGAAACGGCCGTCCAGTGCTTCCAGGTTTTCCAAGGTGGTCTAGCTTCAATCGACTCATGATTTCAATCTGTGAAATTTCTAAAATCTCCACAAACCCCTTCTGATAATAAACTTTTGTAAAACAAAAATAATGTGAATGGGGTTGTGGAGATGATTAACAAGTTTTTGATTGATGTTAGAACATTATTGAAAACTTGGAAGTACTGGACGGTTGTTTCATTCTATTGTATGACTCCTCAGCAGTGTGCATTCACGATCTCACCTTGGGAGATTTTAAACCAAGGCTTTCGATCTCGTATGGGATGAACAAAGACTGTCTACCTTTTATGACATTATCAAATTACAAAATATGTCAAAACAGAGTATATATTGCATACGATGTCGGTTGCTATAACCAATTCAGTAGTGTGATATGTGTTACGTATATCGACATAAGTAGTATGTAATGCGAGTAAGGAATAGAATATCTCGTAGCAGAAAATGAAGAAGATAGAGAAGGAAAGTATGGGAACAGGGAGCAATTGGTATGGAAATGCAGGAACAATCAAATCTGATATGATTGACTAATATTTGTAAAAGGAACAGTGAAATTTGAGATAATTGGTTGACATTTTGCAAATGAAGTATTTACTGTATGATTCTCATATTTTACGATTGTCCCCACTTGTGTTCTCGTTTACTACATTTGGTATCGCTACCAACTAGGAGTGAGAAAGGATGTTGTTCTACGGACACCGATGCGGGCCTGGAACTGAGGTGCTAGTTGGTGCGGTATGTGCTAATGATATCGACAGATATAAGTAGTATGTATCATTAATCGAAGGTGGAATGCCTGGTGGTAGAAGTTTGGGAGAATTGAAGCGAAGAGAATGAGAATTAAGAATAGTTTGTGTGGAAACGAAGGAACAGTGACGTCTGAGACAATTAATGGACATCAGCAGGAATCAGTAGCTGAGTGGATAACATGGTGGCGTTCTGTGTGAACGGTACTGTGTTGGAGTCCCAGAGTGAACATCAACTGTGGGATGCGAGTACATCGAACTGACGAATCCCAAATATGACGAAACGTGCGTCACACTGAATTCCACTACTAGCTACTATCCTTCTTTGCTTAGAATGCTTGTGACCTAAGGCTATATCGAGGCAATCGGTACAAAATGCACATATGCCAAAAAGAGACTGATCAATTACAGTCCTAAACATCAATGGGAAGATTCATTTAAACTATACCATGTGAATTAATGAACATCTTGCAAATAATGTATTTACTGTATGTTTTTTTTCTTTCTAATATATCAAGTCACTGTAATTTCGTATTATATATAATCAGATTTCTTCACTAATATTCTCCTTGGATCTTGTAGGGAAGTGAAAAAAAGAGGAAGGCCAAAGAACACATTCCGTCGGGAAATAGAAGCAAATGTGAAAACGATTAATAAGAACTGCAAAAGATTGCCCAGAACAAGGTTTGGATGGAGAGTGTTAGTTGGCGACCTATAGTACTCCACGAGGAATAACAAGCGTAATTAAGTAAGTAAGCAAGTAAGTAAGTAAGTAAGTAAGTAAGTAAGTAAGTAAGTAAGTAAGTAAGTAAGTAAGTAAGTAAGTAAGTAAGTAAGTAAGTAAGTAAGTAAGTAAGTAAGTAAGTAAGTAAGTAAGTAAGTAAGTAAGTAAGTAAGTAAGTAAGTAAGTAAGTAAGTAAGTAAGTAAGTAAGTAAGTAAGTAAGTAAGTAAGTAAGTAAGTAAGTAAGTAAGTAAGTAAGTAAGTAAGTAAGTAAGTAAGTAAGTAAGTAAGTAAGTAAGTAAGTAAGTAAGTAAGTAAGTAAGTAAGTAAGTAAGTAAGTAAGTAAGTAAGTAAGTAAGTAAGTAAGTAAGTAAGTAAGTAAGTAAGTAAGTAAGTAAGTAAGTAAGTAAGTAAGTAAGTAAGTAAGTAAGTAAGTAAGTAAGTAAGTAAGTAAGTAAGTAAGTAAGTAAGTAAGTAAGTAAGTAAGTAAGTAAGTAAGTAAGTAAGTAAGTAAGTAAGTAAGTAAGTAAGTAAGTAAGTAAGTAAGTAAGTAAGTAAGTAAGTAAGTAAGTAAGTAAGTAAGTAAGTAAGTAAGTAAGTAAGTAAGTAAGTAAGTAAGTAAGTAAGTAAGTAAGTAAGTAAGTAAGTAAGTAAGTAAGTAAGTAAGTAAGTAAGTAAGTAAGTAAGTAAGTAAGTAAGTAAGTAAGTAAGTAAGTAAGTAAGTAAGTAAGTAAGTAAGTAAGTAAGTAAGTAAGTAAGTAAGTAAGTAAGTAAGTAAGTAAGTAAGTAAGTAAGTAAGTAAGTAAGTAAGTAAGTAAGTAAGTAAGTAAGTAAGTAAGTAAGTAAGTAAGTAAGTAAGTAAGTAAGTAAGTAAGTAAGTAAGTAAGTAAGTAAGTAAGTAAGTAAGTAAGTAAGTAAGTAAGTAAGTAAGTAAGTAAGTAAGTAAGTAAGTAAGTAAGTAAGTAAGTAAGTAAGTAAGTAAGTAAGTAAGTAAGTAAGTAAGTAAGTAAGTAAGTAAGTAAGTAAGTAAGTAAGTAAGTAAGTAAGTAAGTAAGTAAGTAAGTAAGTAAGTAAGTAAGTAAGTAAGTAAGTAAGTAAGTAAGTAAGTAAGTAAGTAAGTAAGTAAGTAAGTAAGTAAGTAAGTAAGTAAGTAAGTAAGTAAGTAAGTAAGTAAGTAAGTAAGTAAGTAAGTAAGTAAGTAAGTAAGTAAGTAAGTAAGTAAGTAAGTAAGTAAGTAAGTAAGTAAGTAAGTAAGTAAGTAAGTAAGTAAGTAAGTAAGTAAGTAAGTAAGTAAGTAAGTAAGTAAGTAAGTAAGTAAGTAAGTAAGTAAGTAAGTAAGTAAGTAAGTAAGTAAGTAAGTAAGTAAGTAAGTAAGTAAGTAAGTAAGTAAGTAAGTAAGTAAGTAAGTAAGTAAGTAAGTAAGTAAGTAAGTAAGTAAGTAAGTAAGTAAGTAAGTAAGTAAGTAAGTAAGTAAGTAAGTAAGTAAGTAAGTAAGTAAGTAAGTAAGTAAGTAAGTAAGTAAGTAAGTAAGTAAGTAAGTAAGTAAGTAAGTAAGTAAGTAAGTAAGTAAGTAAGTAAGTAAGTAAGTAAGTAAGTAAGTAAGTAAGTAAGTAAGTAAGTAAGTAAGTAAGTAAGTAAGTAAGTAAGTAAGTAAGTAAGTAAGTAAGTAAGTAAGTAAGTAAGTAAGTAAGTAAGTAAGTAAGTAAGTAAGTAAGTAAGTAAGTAAGTAAGTAAGTAAGTAAGTAAGTAAGTAAGTAAGTAAGTAAGTAAGTAAGTAAGTAAGTAAGTAAGTAAGTAAGTAAGTAAGTAAGTAAGTAAGTAAGTAAGTAAGTAAGTAAGTAAGTAAGTAAGTAAGTAAGTAAGTAAGTAAGTAAGTAAGTAAGTAAGTAAGTAAGTAAGTAAGTAAGTAAGTAAGTAAGTAAGTAAGTAAGTAAGTAAGTAAGTAAGTAAGTAAGTAAGTAAGTAAGTAAGTAAGTAAGTAAGTAAGTAAGTAAGTAAGTAAGTAAGTAAGTAAGTAAGTAAGTAAGTAAGTAAGTAAGTAAGTAAGTAAGTAAGTAAGTAAGTAAGTAAGTAAGTAAGTAAGTAAGTAAGTAAGTAAGTAAGTAAGTAAGTAAGTAAGTAAGTAAGTAAGTAAGTAAGTAAGTAAGTAAGTAAGTAAGTAAGTAAGTAAGTAAGTAAGTAAGTAAGTAAGTAAGTAAGTAAGTAAGTAAGTAAGTAAGTAAGTAAGTAAGTAAGTAAGTAAGTAAGTAAGTAAGTAAGTAAGTAAGTAAGTAAGTAAGTAAGTAAGTAAGTAAGTAAGTAAGTAAGTAAGTAAGTAAGTAAGTAAGTAAGTAAGTAAGTAAGTAAGTAAGTAAGTAAGTAAGTAAGTAAGTAAGTAAGTAAGTAAGTAAGTAAGTAAGTAAGTAAGTAAGTAAGTAAGTAAGTAAGTAAGTAAGTAAGTAAGTAAGTAAGTAAGTAAGTAAGTAAGTAAGTAAGTAAGTAAGTAAGTAAGTAAGTAAGTAAGTAAGTAAGTAAGTAAGTAAGTAAGTAAGTAAGTAAGTAAGTAAGTAAGTAAGTAAGTAAGTAAGTAAGTAAGTAAGTAAGTAAGTAAGTAAGTAAGTAAGTAAGTAAGTAAGTAAGTAAGTAAGTAAGTAAGTAAGTAAGTAAGTAAGTAAGTAAGTAAGTAAGTAAGTAAGTAAGTAAGTAAGTAAGTAAGTAAGTAAGTAAGTAAGTAAGTAAGTAAGTAAGTAAGTAAGTAAGTAAGTAAGTAAGTAAGTAAGTAAGTAAGTAAGTAAGTAAGTAAGTAAGTAAGTAAGTAAGTAAGTAAGTAAGTAAGTAAGTAAGTAAGTAAGTAAGTAAGTAAGTAAGTAAGTAAGTAAGTAAGTAAGTAAGTAAGTAAGTAAGTAAGTAAGTAAGTAAGTAAGTAAGTAAGTAAGTAAGTAAGTAAGTAAGTAAGTAAGTAAGTAAGTAAGTAAGTAAGTAAGTAAGTAAGTAAGTAAGTAAGTAAGTAAGTAAGTAAGTAAGTAAGTAAGTAAGTAAGTAAGTAAGTAAGTAAGTAAGTAAGTAAGTAAGTAAGTAAGTAAGTAAGTAAGTAAGTAAGTAAGTAAGTAAGTAAGTAAGTAAGTAAGTAAGTAAGTAAGTAAGTAAGTAAGTAAGTAAGTAAGTAAGTAAGTAAGTAAGTAAGTAAGTAAGTAAGTAAGTAAGTAAGTAAGTAAGTAAGTAAGTAAGTAAGTAAGTAAGTAAGTAAGTAAGTAAGTAAGTAAGTAAGTAAGTAAGTAAGTAAGTAAGTAAGTAAGTAAGTAAGTAAGTAAGTAAGTAAGTAAGTAAGTAAGTAAGTAAGTAAGTAAGTAAGTAAGTAAGTAAGTAAGTAAGTAAGTAAGTAAGTAAGTAAGTAAGTAAGTAAGTAAGTAAGTAAGTAAGTAAGTAAGTAAGTAAGTAAGTAAGTAAGTAAGTAAGTAAGTAAGTAAGTAAGTAAGTAAGTAAGTAAGTAAGTAAGTAAGTAAGTAAGTAAGTAAGTAAGTAAGTAAGTAAGTAAGTAAGTAAGTAAGTAAGTAAGTAAGTAAGTAAGTAAGTAAGTAAGTAAGTAAGTAAGTAAGTAAGTAAGTAAGTAAGTAAGTAAGTAAGTAAGTAAGTAAGTAAGTAAGTAAGTTAGTTAGTTAGTTAGTTAGTTAGTTAGTTAGTTAGTTTGTTAGTGAGTGAGTGAGTGAGTGAGTGAGTGAGTTAGTAATCTCCTTGACTACAATAATATATAAATAACTGAAATTACAATAATAACTTACTTCATTACAACTACATTCTTCATTAACATTCTTCATATCATATTGATCAGTTACTTGGCAACTATCTACTTGTAATAGAGATAATGAATTCTCTTCATTCACTACATATATCTCTTCGGTATCAATTATAATATTATCACAATCAGCACTGCTATTGTCTCTATGATCATTGATGTTTCTATTATTGACTAATTGATTTGATAATGAATCTTTATTGATTTGATGTTGAAACCGAATATAATTATTATTACTATTATTATTACCATTATCATTACCATTACTACTATTACCACTACCATTATTATTATTACTACTACTACTATTATTGTTATTACGATTACTATCATTATTATTATTGCTACTACCATTACTACCATGATTACCATTACTATTATTATTACCATTGCTATTACTATTATTATTACTACTACTACTATTATTATTATTACGATTACTATTATTATTATTCTTCCTATTACCACTACTACCATGATTACCATTACTATTATTATTACTATTACTATTATTACTATTACTATCATTACTGTTACTATTACTATTATGATTACTACCATTATTACTACTATGATTATTACTATTACTATTATTATTATCGTCATATGTGTTAATTCCAATTAAATAATTATAATTATCTAATATAGTTTGAACATATTCCCCCGGGAATAAATTAATTCTACTATTGACATATAAATTTTTTAACCAATCATAATTCATTTGTGTATATTGTGTATAATCTTCAATCATTGTTGAATGATTCTCATTGAATGAATTATGATGATAAATTTGTTGATATGATTCTATACTACTTATATTTGTTTGAGTAGATGTTAATGGTATCGTTGTATCAGTAGTAGTAATACAATGAGTTAAAAATTCTAATGCATTTTTTGTTATATTTTGATTAGTTAAATTATATTTACGAAGTTCAGGCTGAAAAAGAAAAACAAAAAGAAAGTGAATAATGAATTTCAGCAAGATATATATATATATATATACTACTTTAATAGTTGAGTTCATGAGTCAATTGAAGTTAGATCATCATGGCAGACCGTTTTGTTCTAATATGAGACTCCTCATTAGTGTGCATCCACGATCCTGCCCCACTTATAGCTTTTACGAGCGAATGTTTGACCTGTAGACCAATCAGTAGGCACCTATGGTATTTCAACTACTTCATGAAATTTAGCGACACATCCATCATTGTCTTCAGGGAGTTACTATCTCACAAAACACCCAGGTTTCCTATGGTAGTCTAGCTTCAGTTGACTCATGAGTTAAACACTATTATTGTTGGATGCCTGCACACTGGTTTACAGGCAAAGCATTCACATGTGAGACCAGAGGTCCTAGGTCCGATTACCGTGTGCGGGATCGTAGATGCACATTGCTGAGAAGTACCATACTAAGACAAAACTGTCATCCAGTGTTACCAGGTTTGTAATGGTGGTCTAAAATTGATCCATTTATGATCTCAATCAAAAAGTCAACAATCTCCACAACCCTATACTGATAATAGATTTTTAGTAAGGCAAGTAAGATGAAAATAGATTGAAGATAAAGAAATCGTACATAGCTGTTTCGTTTGAGCTTAAGACTACTAAAAATCTAATATTAATCAGAGGATAACCCTAAACGCCTGAAATGTACAATGAACGTTTATTTCATCTTTAACATTAGTTATTATTAGACAAATTGACGTAATGATTATGAGATCACCGTTAGGCCTCATTTTCATTGATTTCGTCTTGGTTGAGTTATAAAATGAATCCTGCTTGAAGGTCATCGATAAACTAGATCTATACTGCTGTTACTTCAACAACACATTCATCACCTAAGGTTTTATAGTTCATAGCTGCCAAAGAAATCTGGTTAGATATCCTACAAGCAAAGCAAAATATACCTAACCGAATAATGCCTTAAAGATCACTTCGTGATTTCACCTGGACCACAATTAAAAACCTGGAAATAATAAATGACCATTTCGTCCCAGTATGATACTTTTCAGCAGTGCGCGATCATGACCTCACATGTGATAATCCAACGTAGGATCTCCGGTCTTGCGCGAACGTTATAACCTTCAAGTTTTTAATGATGGTCTAACTAAGATCAGTTCCAGTTCATGCATTCAAGTTGAACCTAATTCTTATGTTGAAATATCACTATAAATAATATACACATCTTATAATCACTTTGTACTTTTTATATTAATGATTCTTTATTTCAATGCTCCTGAACGAATGTATATAGATATCAAAATTTATTGAATAACATTCAGAGAGTAGATGGACTCAATGTTGCACCGTTTGATTCATTCATTTGTTTAATTTCCATTCTCTGTCATATCAGAAAATGCAGACAACTATTAGTTGTCTAATGTTTATGTTGTGGATGCGGAGGAATAGACCAATAATTATGATGTTAAGTCCAATGGTGTCTTTGGACTTTAAATGGACATTGCCTATTGGTCGATATCTGTTCACTTGTTAAATATTGTACAAAATGTTGTTTCCTATTTTTACGGTACGATGTGGTGTGCCTGATTGGTATATAAACAAAGTATGTTTGAAATATAATGATTCATATCTCAGAGGCTGTGACTTTTGTTCTGGACTCAACTAACTGGGCTAGACAGGGAAGTGGGGCCAATCGAGACTCTAGGCCGTCCGTACGTGTTTACGTGTCACTGTAATCGATCGATAAATACACTGCTCTCTAATTTTTCCAGTCAAGGACACAACAATTAGCACAGGATAGAAATCGACCGCAAATTAAAGCCATAACAGTTTATTTACTTATGTGTAAGAAATTCGCTAGGTTAAACAATCACTTCGATGTTGTTTGAGTTTTGTGGCACATTTTAATCGATAAGGATTTCAATCTGTATCTAATACCACCTGTGAAATAATTTATAGTATGGGTAGAATATCATTAACGAATAGTATGTTCCGATTTCAATGATTTCTTAACATATCGAGTGTGAGAGATATTCCATTACAGGCAATAAAAGATGACCATGTAATATGGTGAATTGATTGTGATTAGATAACAATATCGTTGGAAGCCAACTCAATGATCTAGAGGTTAAAGCGTCTTGGTTTAGATTATGACATTTGAGATCGTGGATGCATGTGTTATGCCCCTATAAGTATAATGAATGGTAACTTTTTGGATCCATTACGGACCAATACTATACGTATATTTTTATCGTATAATTGTTATGTAACTAAACTATTCATATCCATGTCCCACTTATTATGAGCTTTGTTTTGACCTATGAACTGTTATTATACGATTTACCATTCGTTGAGTTATGCCCTGCCTGTTAATCACTACCTCCCTCATTCACAGTCACATTGGGCTAAATCTTGTACAAATGTTGTTTCCCTTTTTTATGGTACGATATGGTCTGTTTGGTTGGTATATAAACCCAGTATGTTTTAAATACATGATTCATATCTCAGAAGCTGAGATTGGTGTTCTGGACTTAACTGGCTGAACTAGGCAGGAAGCAGGACCAATAAGAACTCTAGACTGCTCGTACGTGTTTTATGCGTCATTGGTCCGATTGATAATTCACTGTACTCTAATTGGTAGTATCGTTGGGTTATACACTAACAGGGCTCACAGGCCACAAGTTATACCAGCGTGTTACTTAAAAGTCTTATACTAGGACAAAGTAATTGTTTAGTATTTCTAGGTTTCCACTAATAATCTAGAATCTGTGTATGATTTCACAACTATGAAAAATTCCACAACCTCCACAAAACCCCATACTGATACCATATCAGTTCAGTCATTTTAGAAAAATGGAAATACACTTTGGAAAATGTTAATTTTGTTAATATAAACTTCCTAAGTACTATTTCGTTTATCTGAATGGACCCATATGATCATCAAAACTGTTTCTTCTAGAGATTACTACTGAAACTCCATATATATTTAAACACGTTTTGAACTAACCGTTATGAATAAGTAACGATTAGGTGTTGCTTTCATTTCACATAAAGCTGAACATAATTCTTTGAATGTTGGTCTAAGATTTGGATCTGCTTGCCAACCTATTTATTTGCAAGTTAAACAAAAACAAAAAAGACAGTAAATAAAAACAGAGGGTTACATTAGTTTAAAAATGGTTGAAATATTTATTGTTCACGTCAAGCCCGACATTTGTTGATACTTTAATGTGGTGGTCGGGCTTTCCTATCGTGATGAGTCAATCAAGCTAGGCTGACTGGAACAATTGTTCCTCAAGGTCCTGCCACGCCAGACAGGTTGGCTGAAGAGATGTAGGACTAAAAGCAGCAAACCAAAGGTCCGAAGGCGAAGTCGTACTGATGACTGTACAGAGGTGTGATGATAGTAAGGTGTTTCCTTCAGACAACTAGTATAACAGCAATTCTGCCTTCTTACAAGGAGGGATGGAGTTAGAAAAGGTCGACCCTTAAAATAAACACCTCACCTTATTCCACGGGTTTCCGTCTCCAGTGGTAAGGTCCAAATAACTACGGAGCTAACACGAAAATTACTCACAAAAGGGTTGTGTGTGACCTGTCTGAAGTAGTTGTCCGTTGTGCATTGCGGCCACGTTCTCAGGTCACTAGGACTAACTCTAACCCCATTTCTTATTCAGGTACGTCTAGAAGAACCCTTTCACGGTGTGGGCAACCGGGAAATGAAAACTGCCCTTAAACCTCTAATAGCACTCAAGACCGCTGATATGATGTCTAGGATCGGTTACTACTCAATAGTTGTGAGGAAAACCACTTTTACATAAGTTGAAGGTGCTAATAAGATACTTATAATGAGGAATTCCTTTATTGTATAAACAGTGAACAAGAACCAACTGTTGTTTACGAATGAATAAAAGAACCAATTCATTTGTATTGTTTGCTCGAATCTTCATATTATGGTTTAGCATTAAAATAGATCATCTTCTTCTTAGTATGTATTCATCCAGTACCGTTTGTTTTGTTACTGCCATTAAGTCACAAGTATTATAGGCAGAGATGGATGGTGATTAGTAAAGGAATCCATCATGTTCATTTCATCCTATACGCTACACGTCAGTTGAATGTGAAGGATCCACATATCCCGTAAAAGATGAATCAATTGTAGATACATCTAGTTGATGAGCCCAAAACATGATGAAACATACATTCTGGATTCTACTGCTAGTTACCGTCCATCTTTGTTGATAAAAGAATTATTTACGAAAATTTTCATAAAACACTTATGTGAATACATAACAGAGTAACAGTAGACTATAATAAACTTACATTGTAACATTAAACAATAAAAGTCAAGACTTGTTGTTTCTGGTTGAGGTAAACGATTTCCTTTCTCTAAAAAATCTAATAAATCTCTTGCATGAATATTTTCATATGGTCGATGCCCAAATGTACACATTTCCCATAAAGTTATACCTAGATACAAAAAAATGTATACATATCCATATAAATTATTTGTATAATCTTGAATCTTTTCAAAAAGTAGTTCAATACAATGATCCAATTTGTATTTTTATCCATTATTTGGGTACAGAGGGGTACCACACAAGTCATTTGATTTGTGTGTGTCTGTGTCGTGTTACTGCTCGCGTGCTCAAGCCGATGTAGGTGATTTTCTTAGGGGATCACACCTGGAGCCTCTAGGGAGTATCAGTTCACTCAAGATTATAGGTACACCTTTCTGATGAGTGCCAAATGGCACGGAATTCAGGTCTAGGGTTTCTTGTTGACTTCCTTCAACTACCATCTTATAATTGATTTTGTTTTCATGTTTTTACAATACATAGAATCATTATCATGAATTTGGTGTTCATCTTGTTGTGTTAATGAGATGTGGCAACTTGAACCGACGCATATATGTGCCTGGTCCTACGTTATAGCTGAGTGACTAACTGGTCATGAAAGTTATGAAATTAATCCCATAGGAACTGAAGAGTATGCACTGACTATAATTCAATAATTATGATCAGTCAGTCAGTCGGCTACAACCTAAGACCAGGCACATATATGCATCGGTCCAAGTTGCCATACCGCATTAACACAACAAGATGAACATTGGATTCATAGGAGTGGTTAGGTCAATGGTGGTAATATATAGAAGAAAGATTGCATATAAGGATATAGTACAGGAAGAAATAATTAGTTCGTAGAAAGAAAGATATGAAGCGATTTTAATCTCTTAGTTTAGGGGAGGACAGAGAGTGTATACACCGACGCCATTATGATCGATTCTGAGCCATGTCACCAAGAGTCTCCAACCATTGGTTACGATAGTCACGTGGACCCCAACCAAGTAGTCTGCATCTACCAACATGGCCAAGACTAGAAGTTAGTGACTTCAAGCACTGATGCCACGTTTTGGTTTGGCCGCCCCTAACTTTCTTCCAACCATTTCCAATACCGGATAGCATTGCACGTCGTGGTAATCGGTGTTCAGGCATACGTAACACGTGGCTCAACCATCTCAGTCGATGAAGATTCATAACCTCATCAACTGATTTACCATCATTCCCTAATACCCTGCGTCTAACCTCACTATTACTTACCCGGTGATCCCAGCAGACGCCAGCAATATTTCTAAGGCATCTGTGGTCAAATACTAATAGCTTACGAGTGTCTTCTACTCTTAATGGCCATGTTTCGCTGCCGTAAATTAAAACAGAACGGACTGCCGCGCAGTATACTCGTTCTTTTATTGATAGACGGATATAAGACATTTTTTGGGTATTAGTATTCTTTGCTGACTATAATAGATCCTTAAAAAGGTTGCTTTTCAGAGCTTCTTAAGTTTCAATTAAATGTGAAGGAATAATAAACATAATATAATCATTGTAAACTTACCATATGCCCAAACATCTGATTTACTTGAGAATATTCTATCTTGTATACATTCAATTGCAAGCCATTTAATTGGCATACGTCCTCCACTAGCATGATATTCACTATGTATTGTATCTAAACATTTAGCTAAACCAAAATCAGTTATTTGGACCTATGAAAATAAACAGATGTAATATAGATGTTATTATGAATACATTTCATCTTCTTAAGACTCTTTTTATACAATGTTTAGTATACTGGTTAGCATCTAACGAGTTCTACATCATTTATAGTATAACTTAAAGTTGAACTAATTGACCACTATAAAAATCCAATCGCTATTAAAGACTAAACATAGATATTGAAATCACAAGTGGATTTAAGCTTAATCACTATTGGAAACCTGGAAGCCCTAGATGGCTATTTCATTCTAGTATAGGACTCTTCATCAGTGCATATCCACTCAAGATCACTGATTGATTAAAGTGGCTTAGCGATCTAGAAGTTAGGCGTTGGTACGTAAGACCGAAGGTCCTGGGTCCGAGTTCCATATGCAGTATCGCAGACAAAACAGTCATCTAGTGGTTCCAGGTTTTCAATGGTGGTCTAAAAACAACCAATTCATGATTTCAATTATTAAATTACTTTAAATAACACTAAATAGTTTTTCATTGAATGTTTTGTAGATCGTACTGTTCAATGGTTACTTTTTGCTTTAACTTATCCTGAATCTTGAATTCATCATTATCAATTCACATAATATTGTAGTGCACAAGAACACGAGTAGGGCAATCGAGTTTGGGCATAAAATTACAGAATATCTCACTAAAATCTGAGAACTATATCGTAAATACACTTGGTATTTTTTGGCTTGTATTTTCCCATCGAGGTTTAAGACTGCAATTGATCAGTCTGTTATTGGCATATGTACATACTATGCGTATGCCTCGATATTGCCTTTTGTAAGCAATGATGTATAGTGACTAGTAGTAGAAACCAGAACGCGCGTTTCGCCCTATTTGGGACTCGTCAGGACAAAACGCTCGTCCTGGATTCCACTGTTAGCCGCTATCCATTATATCGTTAATAGTTAATTTGCAACATGTCAATGCATCGTCTAAAACTTGACTACTCCTTCAGCAAATACCAGTCCATTGTCTCAGATTTTATTGTTCATGCATTTTCATACGAATTGTTTTCTATTCCCATTTTTTTCCTTATCGATCTCCTACTAAAATACATTCTATGACTAACTATCATTATATACTACTTATATGAATATAAGTAGTTCGCATTATAATATATCAATTCATCATATACATCTCTCACTTACTTGATCTTTGGATTGAACAAGTACATTACGTGCAGCTAAATCACGATGTATAATACCACGTGATGATAAATATGTCATACCAGAAGCAATTTGTTCAGACCATTGAAATAATGAATTGACTTCAATAAAATCCCAACGTATTTTAACAAATTCTAATAAACTACCTAATGGTAAATATTGTGTAATTAATTGTAATTTAGATGTAAGACATAAAGCTAAAAATCGTACACAACATGGATGATCAACAGTTGCCATAACCTAAAGAAAAAGAAACAAAATAAACAATGTTTTTATCTTACTTAACATTGATTTTCAATAATAGTTACCTATGTGTTATTTGTCGAGTTGTTTACTTAGCTATGTCTGTAACCCATCGTGGAGGAGTACAAAGAGGCACCAAATACATAGGCGCCACACAAATCTCATTTGATTTGTGTGAGGGCTGTGATACTGCCCGGGTACCCAAACCGAAGCAGGTGGTTTTCTTAGGGGGCCACACCCCGAGCCTTCGATCTGAAGGTCTGATCCACAAGGCAATGGAGCATCGTAAGAAGATGCAGTCCCATGGTAGCCGGTGACCAACAATTGGTTCATACGCCATTTGTTCCTTCAGGATACTGGAGCCCATGTGCACCATTGGTTTGGAATCCGGTTAAAGCGCTGGACATTCGCTTTTCGTTCTCTCAATTTCGTAAACAACACCCCCCCCGCCACGAGAAGGCAGTGAGTAGGACTACCCTGGCATAGGCTATATACGCGTGGCCATGTGAGAGCATTTGGAGAGGGAGAGCGGATTCTCCCCACTCTCGACCGTACCAAGGCATTTGGGGGCCGTGGAGGAGTATAGGTCATATAGATATACTAGTATTGTCTATTCAACTCTGTCCTGGACAATCTTTCCTAGTTGTTTTCAATCATTGTTCATTCTTTTGATATCTGCTTCTAATTCCTTCCATAATGTTGTAGTGACCTACTTTTATCAAGAGAACGCGATTGGTTTAATGGAAAAATTGTTATTATAACCAATTGTACAAGTGATTGTTTTACTGTGCTCATTTGTTTAACTGTACCAAAATACATACATTCTTCCTTTGATTGTGGCTCTGCACGAATTCGGTAACGCTCAGTAACCACACTTTTACTCCTTTGGCACGATCTCGGTATTCTTTCGATACCACGAGATCGCCAACAAATACATCTCGACTACAGTCATCAACTGCCTTCTGATATTTGGCTTACGGGATATCTTATCGGTTAACTGGAACGTAGTCTTCCTGTAGTGGTGATCATAGTCAACCGCGACTCGACGCCACATTACAATGTGTTCACTGATCCTTCTCTTTTCTGATTCTCTTCAGGATTCCAAGTTAGTGCTTGCTCCATGATGCAGTTTGATGATTTCATTAATGTGTGTCCTATTCACTTTCAAAGCCTTTTCCTAGTTTCCTCTTCAGTTGGAAGCTGGTTTGTATCTCACGCACAGTCGGTTGTTTTTGATGGTATCCAGTCAACGGATATTGAGTATCATGTGTAGACAACTGTTCATAATTACATGTACATTTTTGATACTAGTTGTATGGGTTCTCCAAGTTTATATTGAATATTTCGACTTTAATGTTGGCTGACAGTTATCTTGAGTTTCATATGTTCTTCAACTGTAAATATGCTGACCTTGCTTTACCAATCCTTGCATTAACATGTTCATCAGATCCTCCTTACTTATCGATGATCTTGACAAGACACGTCAAACTTTCCATTTTTTCAGTTAACATAGATCAATTACATGATATTCATGAAGCCTTTTTAATGTCTTCATCTGAGTTCATAATAACCAACTTACTTACTAAAAAGAAATCGGATTCGAAATACCATGAAACGAATAGGGACATTCATAGCTTAAGTTATAAATATCTATCATGGAGGAGTAAAAGACTTGAAAAGAAAGTGGATAGGACACACATTAAGGAAAGCACCCAACTCCGTTATAAGGCATGTCTTCACTTGGAATCCTCAAGGCTTCAAAAGAAGAAGAACACCAAAGAACACATGGCGCCGAGAAATGGAGACAAACATGTGAAGAATGAAGAACAATTGGATAGAACTAGAAAGGAAGGTCCAGGACAGAGTTGGTTGGAGAATGCTGGTCGGTGGCCTATGCACCATTGGGAGTAACAAGCATGAGTAAGTCAGCACGTCAGCAAAAGACTTTAAAACAAAGATATAACAACTGGAAAAGATCAAAGCAACTCAGAGTGCATACAAATGTCCAAATTAGTAGACAGTATCCAGAAAAAATTGGTGTTATATCTAGAGCTTAGATTCTTGATATACCGAGTACAATTTGAGCACTCAAAAGCTAGAACTCTTCAAATCGCAAATGAGAAGCCAGAAGACAAGTGAAAGGAATGTTATTTCAAACATTGTCAAATAAAGTATAAAACTAAGGTATTTATAGTTTTTAGTAAAAATGAAATCATCATTATAGTCCTCCAATCCGCATACAGAGGGTTATTAGCATTTGTCCAATAGGGAAACTACATGTAGAGATTCTGGAATATTCTTCCAAAAGATGATTGGATGGAATATCTTCAGCTTTTTCTGAGCTTCTTAGAGATTCCTTGAGTTCATCCATGGGTTGTCCTTACATTTGAGAATAGTTACTCTTGGATAATTTGATCAATCAGATTTATTCTTTATCTTATGACAACCGATATTTTTATTTAGGTTATTTAAATTAGGCGAAAATAACTAAATTTGAACGATAGTTGGAACATTGACTGAATGTAACTATAATAGTGAAAAATTTCCTCTTTATGATGATTAACTCATTACTAGATTCATAATAATGTACCTGGCTTTGATCCACATTTTAGGTGGGAAGGGCTGATGATAAAACGTGGTTGTTCAGTTGAAGCAAATGGGGCTGGATTTGAAACTTAGGATTCGAGGCTAAAATTTGAACATCTTAACCGCTGCTTGGAAGTCAGCGATGATAACCTTCGTACCAAGAACTCAATTACTTTGCACTAGTCATTCAGAAATACTTTAATGTTAGGTGGCTAGCGGCAGGCACGGAATACATTAAAAAGCATATCTACAATCGTGAAAGAAATGATGTTTCTCGATTGATTCTTAACTCATGTCATCAAGTATTACAGTCTGAAACATCATCACGGAGATATTCTGGCTATATGCTCAAAAAGAATTTAGAGCGACAAGTGTAGACCAAAATATCACTGTTATCAAAGTTCCAATAGGAATTGCAATCGTTGATTTCAGTCATAAAAACATTTCTTAGTAGGATTACATGTGAGATTTAGGTAACATTGATAGGTACTTAGTCTCAGATTTCACGACTGTCCCCACTTGTACTCTCGTTTACTACATTTGGTGTCACTGCTAACTAGGAGTGGGTAAGGGTGCTGTCCTACGGACACCAATGCGGGCCTGGAACTGAGGTTCTAGTTGATAGGGTATGTGCTAATGATATCGACAGATATAAGTAGTATATGTCATCAATCGAAAGTGGAATGCCTGAAGGCAGACGTTTAAGAGAATTGAAGAGAAGAGAATGAGAATTAGGAATAATTTGTGTGGAAACGAAGGGACAGTGACGTCTGAGACAATTAATGGACATCATCAGAAATCAGTAGTTAAGTGGAGAACGTGGTGGTGTTTTAGGCGAACGGTACTGAGTTGGAGTGCCAGAGTGAACATCAACTATGGGATGCAGATACATCGAACTGACGAGTCCCAAATATAACGAAACGTGTGTCTTGTATTCCACTGCTAATCGCCATCCATCTCAACTTAGAATGTTTGTGATTTAAGGCAATATCTATGCAATCCTTACAGGTTGCACATATGCCAATAAGAGACTGATCAATCGCAATCATTATTAACCATGGGAAGATACTAGTAAAACAACACCAAGGGGATATTTATGAATGTTTTAATATGGATAAACCAAACTATCCATAAACTTCACTTGATGTTGTTTTATTTATATCTTCCCATTGTTATTGAGAACTAGAATTGATCAATCTCATGTTGGCATATATATGCATCATATGTGATGGCGTTTAAAAAGCAAACGGTACAAGGTTCAAGTTCCAGAATGAACATCAACTCTGAGATGCAAGTACATCCAGTTGACAAGTCCTAAATAGGACAAAAACACACATCAAACTAGTTTCCACTGTTAGTTACTATTCATCTTTGTTTATCCGTAGGTTTGAAATCGTTTTGTCAGTAATGATAAGAAATTCATTAGATGAAAATGAATAATGAAGCTTTAACTTTAAAAGAAAAACAAACAAACAAAGGTAGCATTACTTTTGCTTCTTCTAATAATTCTTTATTCGTTTGTGGATCAGATGAATCTGATAAGACTTTAATAGCTACTGGAATATGTAGATTGTATCCTCCTGGAATAGTTTCTATATCATTGGTATATTTATTCCAATCAAATGTTCTGGAATTGAATACATTTGAAGTTGATGTTATAATGGAATTTGTTATTGTATTATATGCATCATTATGAATAGGATCATGCTTTTGTTGAGTCAATTTCGGACACCATATACCACAATAAACTGTACCAAATGCACCAGAACCAATTAATGGACCACGTATTAATTCTGATTCAGTAATGATACGTAATGTTGCCATGTTTGGTTTTATAGATTCTGAATGAGTAGGCTATTTATTGATTTTTTTTGTGTGTGAAAGAAAATATACCATAGATTTAATAAACTATATACAAAAACATTCAGTAGTTTATTACTTACTTACTTACTTATTTATGCCTGTTACTCCAGTAGTCTCCATCCAACCCTGTCCTGGCCAATCCTTTCCAGCTCATTCCAGTTGTTATTCATCCTTTTCATGTCTGCTTCAATTTCCTTACGTAATGTGTTATTTGGCCTTCCTCTTTTCCGCTTCCCTTTAGGATTCCAAGTTAAAGCTTGCCTCGTGATGCAGTTTGATGATTTCCGTAATGTATGTCCTATCCACTTCCATCGTCTTTTCCTAATTTCTTCTTCAACTGGAAGCTGGTTTGTTCTCTGCCACAAGAGGCTGTTGTTGATGGTATCCGGTCAATGGATGTCGAGTATCTTGTGTAGACAGCTATTTATCAATACTTGTACCTTCTTGATGGTGGTTTTTGTAGTTCTTTAAGATTCAGCTCCATACAGTAGAACTGTCTTGACGTTAGTATTGAAGATCCTGACTTTGATATTGGTTGAAAGTTGTTTTGAGTTCCATATGTTCTCTAATTGAGGGGATGCGGCCTTTACTTTGTCAATCCTCGCCTTTACGTCTGCATCTGATCGTCATTGTTTATCGGTCATGCTTCCCAGGTATGTGAAGGATTCCACGTCTTTCAGAGTTTCGTCATCAAGAGTGATTGGATTGCTGTTATCGGCGTTGTATTTGAGGATCATCGTTTTCCCCTTATATATGTTGAGGCCTACTGATGCAGAGACTGTTGCTACACTGGTTATCTTTATGTGCATTTGTTCATTTGTATACGATAAGAGGGCTAGGTCATCTGCGTAGTCCAAATTGTCTAATTGGTTCTGAGGGATTGTCGTAATTTGATAGTTGACTCATGAATTCAACTATTAAATTACTACTATCTTCACAAATCTCCTTTCTGATAAAAACCATCATTTGCTCACTAGTGACTGGCTTCAGGAAGTATTTCCTGGAATACAAGCGAGAAGCCGTGACCAGTGAACTTCAATCAGGTCTGTTGTGAGATAGTCACTAACTGAAGACATTAGTGAACGGTGGCTCAATATCGTGGATTGGTTGAATTGTCGGATGCCGGCCGGTTCAGTGGTCTACAGGCTAAGCATTCGCGCGCGAGACTGAAAATCCTGTATCAGAATCCTGCGAGTGGGACTATGAAAGCTCACTGCTGAGGAGTTTCATACTAGGACAAAATGGACGTTCAGTGTTTTTGGATTTTCCATGATGTTCTTGCTTTAAATGACTCATGAATTCAACTAGTGAATCATTAATCCAAATAAAAATACCACTACATATGATCTGTTACACAGTTCGTAAAACTTAAGTGTGAAATCCACATAAATACATATTCCCAAAGTATATAGTTTTCTTTTGTAGTTGTTAGGTTGAATATTTATAAGAGAGAGTTCGCATCCCTTTTGGTGAGGGATTATGGATGTGTATTACTGAGGAATCTCATACTAGGAAGAAATGACCATCCAGTATTTCCAGGTTTTCAATAGTGATCTAGCATAGATCAACTCATCAATTCAATTATTAAAAATTACTTTAAGAAATGTTAAATCAAGCATAATTCTTCATTAACTTCAGTCAGGAAATCATTTTAAAGACTATCGGCTTTATCAGAATGGGTTTTGTGGAGATTTTTAGAAATTTCACTGGTTGAAATCAAGAGTTAATTGAAGCTAGACCACCTTGGAAAACCTGGAAGCACTGGATGGCCGTTTCGTCCTAGTATGGGACTCCTCAGCAGTGCGCATCCACGATCCCGGCTTTATTTTATGATATATGTTAACATTGTAAAACATTATTGAAGGTAAAAAGATTGATTCAGTGATATGTTTCAGTCAGATATGCTCAATATGGAACCTGGCACATATATGAACAATTAAATTTACCACACGATATCAGCACAGTGATATGGTACAGTAGTGAAATTAATAACACTATCAGTGAGAATGAAAAATATAAGGGTTAGAAGATATGATTTGATAAGAAAATATGCATTCATGGAATAAAATATACAAAATAATTTTGAAACCTGAGATTTAAGGAAAGATAAAGAGTGAATGAATCTATGCCAGTTTTAATCACACCATTGATAGTTTTCAAATACTGACAGTTGTTAACACGCAGACCATAACTAGATAGTCTGTACTTATCTACTTTGCTCAATTCGGAAATAGATCAGTAATTTCTGCCCCTAAATGCCCTGGTATGGCCGAGAGTGGGGAGAGTCCGCTCTCCCTCTCCAAATGCTCTCACATGGCCACGCGTATATAGCCTATGCCAGGGAAGTCTTACTCATTGCCTTCTCGTGACATTACTGTTGTTTACGAAATTCAGAGGACGAAAAGCGAACGTCCGTCAGGCGCTTTAACCGGGTTGGCGGATATGGATAGTTCATCTAGGGGAGTTGGAAAACCCTCATTCCAAACCAATGGTGCACATCGGCTCCAGTATCCTGAAGGCACAAATGGTGTATGAACCAATTATTGATGGGCTACAATAGGACTGCATCTTTTTACGTTGCTCCACTGCCTTGTGAGTCGAAGACTCCGGGTTCGCCCCATAAGAAAACCATCTGCTTCGGTTTAGGCACCTGGTCAGTATCACAGCCCTCACACAAATCAAATGAGATTTGTGTGGCGCATATCTATTTGATGCCTTCTTGTACTAATATCTATGTGTTAAAATAAATAATAAATAAATAAATACTTTGATTAGTATTACATCATGGTTTGATCGCCTCTAACTTTCTTCCATAGTGCCCATTACACCAGAAAACATAGCACGTTGAGGTAAACAGTGGTTAAACATACTTATTACATAATTTAACTTATCCAGTCAATCAAGGATTACTACTTCATTAACTGATTCATCATCCCTACCAAATACCACAATGAATTGTTCACTGAGAATATGTTTATTTACACTTATATAATATAGAAACGATCTTAGTTTGTGACTTGTTCTTAATTATACGCTCTTTTATATGGATGAAAGATTTAAGTATTTGTCCTCAATCATTTAGATGACAGTTATACTTAGTCAAATACACTTAAGAATTTGTTCATATTACAAGTAGATAGGTTTCAGTTACAGTTATTATTTAAGGGTAAAGTAAACTATCCAACTATTATGAAGTAGACAATGAAGACCCCTCATACTATCAATAGTAACTAAGTGTTCACAAGTAATTGGTTCAGACAGATAATTTTTTTATCAGATGGAATTTTGTGTAGATTTTAGAAATTTCACAGATTGAAATCATGAGTCAATTGAAGCTAGACAACCATGGAAGACCTGGAAGCACTGGACGGCTGTTTCGCCCTAGTAATGGGACTCCTCAGCAGTGCCCATCCACGGTCCTGCATCCTGCGAGATTCGAACCCAGGGTCTATTTTTTGAATTTAAGTGGAAAACTGTGGCCAGCTTAGTTCAACTCTGTTAGTATGAAGTTATTTATTAATAGTACTAAAAGGTAATTGTTACATAACACGAATTAATTGAATTTAAAAATGTATATCATTCGATGCTGGCTCGGTTGCCTAAAGATTAAATGCTTGTCCTGAAACTTGATAATTCATTGTTTGATCATTGTTGTGGTTGATAATATACTTACCTCTTAGAAGTTTCATACTGTTCAGATCATTTTGATTTTCAACGGTTATCAGATGACTCAGTAAAGGCTATTAATAACATGTATCATTTACAAATGTAGATTTGATGGTTGAATTTATGAGTCGATCTATGCTAGGCAACCATTGAAAACCTCAAAGCACTGAATGGCCGTTTCGTCCAAGTATAAGACTCATGAGTAGTGCACATAAACGATACAACACATGGGATTCGAAATCAGGAATGTCGGTCTCGCATGCGAACGCTTAACTTCTAGACCACTGGACCGGCCGGGATCTAGTGGTGTTAATGTCTGATTTCAACTAATCCACGAAATTGAGCCACACGTCGACCATTGTCTTTAGTGAGTTACTATCTCACACTCGGTATGGTTGAACTCCACTGGTCACGGCTTCTTATGAGAACTCCAGGAATTACCTCTTGAAGTGTTGGGGACGTTAGATCCCTAAAACTCACTTGGCAAAGGACCTAATTTTGTAATTTTATTTAGAAAATTTGAATTTCTTTATTTTCTCGCCAAAGGCGCTCTTATCACCTTCATGTCGTATCTCCCACTGAGAAATGTCTTAAATGCTATTGGTCCGGTGCGTCTTTTACTATGCTATTTGGTTACTCTACTCAAGGACGGTTTTGCACTGTATATATACATTTTGAATTGTGTTTGTTATTATCGCTCGTTTCTGGCTGTTTTGTAGAATATACTTTCCATTCCAAGCTTGGACTTCTCCCTCTAGTTAGCGGTGCTGAGACGCATCAATAGCTAGCTTACTGGTCTTTGGTCACTGAGTCTTGTTTCTCGTTCTCAGATTAAGTGAACTCGTGATAGCTTCAAACCTAGCATGAAGTCAGTCACAAGTGATCACATGATATTTATCAGTATGGGAATTTGTGGAGATAGTAGTAATTTATGTGTTTATGGACTCATTAGTCAATTAAAGGTAGATCACCGCGAAAAGCCTGGAAGTGTAGAATATATTTCATCAAACATATAATGACCATAATCAGACAAGGGTTTTGTAGAGATTGTAGCAATTTTAATAATTGAATTCATGAACCAACTGAAGCTAGACTACCATTGAAAACTTGAAAGCAATAAACGGCCATTTCATCTAAGTTTGAGACTCTTCAACAGTGCGTATCCATGATCTTGCCTCACGAGATTCGAACCCAGGACCTATCAGCCTCGCACACGAACTCTTAACCTCTAGACCACTGAGTCAGCCGGCAACCAACGGTGTTAATAGAATGAATAAACATTCATTTCTTTATGAGAAGGGGTTTGTGGAGATTTTGGAAATTTCACCGATTGAAGTCATGAGTCAATTGAAGCTAGACCACCATGAAAAACCTGGAAGCGCTGGACGGCCGTTTCGTCCTAGTATGGGACTCCTCAGCAGTGCGCATCGGCTATCCTGCGCTCCGCGAGATTCGAACCGAGAACCTATCAGTCTCGCGCCAAGCGCTTAATTAAAAAAAAAGCAAAACAAAACAAACTACTTACAGATATTTCTTCATTCATATGATTTATCCATTTATTATCTTTATCTAATAATATACTACTATTCATTGGTATTAATGAATTATTCCAATTGAATGGATTAAATAATTTCTCTTTTATTAATTTATTATTTGAATAATTGATCAATGTATTATTATTATTATTATTATTGAATAAAAATCGATCATTTTTAGTTGCTATGGTAGATATTTTTGTTTTTTTCTTTTTTCTTAATTTTGGTTTACCTTGTGTCCAAAATTTTTTACAAATTTTATGTAATGATATAAAACATGATTGATTTAATTGATTATTATCGTGATCATCATCATCATGATCATGATCATCATGATCGTGATCCTGATCCTGATCATCATTAAGATCTTGTTCCATTCTTATATATTTAGATCGAATATGAATAGTCCAATAAATAATTAAACATAATAAACATAACATAATAAATAATGCAGATAATGCTGAAATAAGACCAGCAGTTTGTGTTGATAATTGATGATTATGCCAAATATAATTCATAATATGAACATTTTGAAGAAGATTAAGGTTTTCAATTGAATCAGATAAATTATAATTAGGATCATTCATTGTTGAAGTATTCTCATGATGATGATGATGATCAATGGGATATTGTCTATTATAATATGGTATAATATGTAAATGAATAGAATCACTTGAACATATCAGTTCACCAGTTTTTCTATCAGATATTTGAAATGGACTATAATCAGGACAGGTAGTGTTGCATAACCACTAAAAGTATGAATTGTATATAATAAGAATCATAATAATACAATTCAATGTAATACTGCAAAGACAGATAGTAACTAGTAGTGGAATCCAGTTTGATACGTGTTTTGTCCTATTTGAGATTCGCCAGTTGGATGTACTTGCATGACAGAGTTGATGTTCACTCTGGGATTCACATCTTGGTTTCCACTGCTAGCCACTATGTGTCTTTGCTTAGAATGTTTGTGAATTAAGGTAATATCGATGCAATCCGTACAGAATACACATATACCAATAAGAGACTGATCAATTACAATCCTTAACCTCAATAGGAAGATTCAAGTAAACAATACCAAGTGAACGTAAACGTATTAGATGAAAATAAGAAAATATGATTTAATTCTAAATAAAAATAGATAGTGGTTAGCATTGGAATCATCCTGTCAACTGGATGTACTTAAATTCCAGAGCTGATGTTCAATTCGAGACTCGAACCAAGTACTGTTCATTTCAAACTATATCACGTTATCTACTTAGCTATTGAGTTCTGATAGCCAGTAGCTAAGTAAATAACGTGATGGTGTTTGAAGTGAATGGTACATGGTTCGAGTTTTGGGGTGAATATTATTCTGAGATGTAAGTACATCCATCTGATGACTTCCAAATATCACGTATGCCTGAACACCGATTACCACGACGTGCAATGCTAACCGGTGTTGGAGATGATTGGAAGAAAGTTAGGGGTAGCCAAACCAAAACGTGGCATCAGTGCTTGAAGTCACTAACTTCTAGTCTGAGCCATGTTGGTAGATGCAGATTACTTGGTTGGGGTCCACGTGACTATCGTAACCAATGGTTGGGGACTCTTGGTGACATGGCTCAGAATCGATCACAATGGCGTAGGTGCATACACTCTCTGTCTTCCCTTAAACTAAGAGATTAAAATCGCTTCATATCTTTCTTCCTACTAACTAATTCTTTCTCCCTGTATTATATCCTTATTGCAATCTTTCTTTTATATATTACCCCAACTGCATTAACTACTTTTATGAATCCTGTGTCCATCTCGTTGTTTTAATGCAGTATGGCAACTTGGACCGATGCATATATGTGCCTGGTCCTACGTTGTAGCTGACTGACTGATTAATTGAAATATGACGAAACGCGTGCTGTAAATTACTCTATTTACCTGTTATATCCGAGCGAAGATTAAATCACGAGTAACTTCTGAGACATATTAATTGACTATATTATCTATGCATTCTTATGGTATAATTATTCAATAATTAGATTATGTGTATTTATATTCCTCTTATTATAAGCTTTATTTCGATCTATAATTTATTATTGTATGATTTACGGTTCTTAAATTATGCTCAGTTTATTAATTACAGTCTCCCACGTTCACAGTCACTTTTTGGCTTAATCTTCTGTAAATGTCATTTCCTACTTTATGGTATGATGAGGTCTGTTTGGCTGGTATATAGACTAAATATGTTTGAAATAAATGATCTGCATAGTGGAAGCTGGTATTGGTGTTCTGGACTCAATTGGACGGGCTAGGCGGACATAGGACCAATAAGGACGCTAGACTGCTCATACCGGTCGGACGTCATTGGTTTGGCACAGTGCTAAGGTTGTATAAGTCGTATTTTGATTGGTGAATAAATTACGTGATAAAAAGCCAGACATGAAATCATAACGTAACTACCATCCATCTCTCCTTATAATGCTTGTGAATTAGGCAATATCAAGGCAATTCGTACAGGATGCACATATACCCATAAGCCTCTCCTAGGGAAGTCCTACTCACTTCCTTCTCGTGGCGTTACTGTTGTTTACGAAATTCAGAGGACGAAAACCGAATGCCTGGAGAGTCCACCTAGGGGAGTTGGAAAACACTCATTCCAAACTAATGGTGCACATAGGCTCCAGTACCCTGAACGAACAAATGGCGTATGAACCAATTATTGATCACCAGCTACCATGGGACTGCATCTCCTCACGATGCTCTACTGTCTTATGGATTAGACCTCTTGTTCAAAGAGTTAGGTAGTGACCATTTAAGACAACTACCTGCTTTGGTTTGGGCACCCGGTCAGTGTCACAGCCCTTACACATATCAAATGAGATCTGTGTGGCGCATATGTAGTTGGCACCTCCTTATACTAATATCTATGTGATAAAATAAATACCCATAAGAGACTGATCAACTGCAGTACTAAGCATCAATGGAAAGATTCAAGTAAACAATATCAAGTGAATTTATTCCATTTATAGAATTCACGATTGCTTGTAAGGGTTTTATGAGTTATTGATCCGATTTATAATTCATTATTCACTAATTGGTGATATCACATTACATTATACATTGATAAGGGGCACAAAATCATAAGTTATAACATTCAAATTAATAGTACTTACTGATTTCATTTGAGAATCATGATAAATTTTCACATGTCGACAACGTGTACATTCTTCCGCTGTTGGACCACTACAACTAATTTCACATTCTTTATGACATGATAAACATTCAATTGATGTAATATTATCCGGTAAATATCCAATAAAATAATCATTTATTAAAGTTGAATCAAATTTACGAAATGATTTCTTTTTTGGATAAGTTCCTAATTAGACACACAAACAATCAAATGAATATGGAACTATATTGGGATTTATTGAAACTATAGGCGGTATTCATTAAGTATTGATCTATGATGAGTGATCAATGAAAATCAATTCTTCTATGAGTATTACTTAATCATCAGTATAAGGTTGAGAACATGAACCGATCGATGTTAAACCAAGATTGAAAGCCTGGAAGCACTGAGCGGCTGTTTCGTCCAAGTATGGGACTTATAAGCAGTGCACTCTCCCTCAAATGGAATTCGTGCAAACACTTAACCTCTAGACCAGCGAGCCAGCATCCAACGGTGTTATTGTTAAGCGTCCGCGCGCAAAACTGAATTTCATGGGTTCGAATCCCGTTAGTGGGGTCGTGGATGCGCACTGCTGAAAATTCTCATACTTGGACGACACGGCCGTTCAGTGCTTCTGGGTTTCCAATGGTGGTCTAACATCGATCAGTTCAGGATCTCAATTTTCACTTATAAAGCAATCAGATGTCTAATTATGCTACATGGAGATTTTCTTAATTTGAAGATTCATTTTTATTAAGGACTGACATTGGTTTAAAATTAATATATAATCATCTTTATTCTGTTCTGGTATGTTTTTTCGATCATCATTATGTCTAAGTAGTAGTCGATTAAATTAGCCAGTTAATTCATAATAATTTTCAATCTTATGTTATCACATTGTGAAGACTCGGATCCAGGACATATGAGTCTCGCACGCGAACACTTAACCTCTAGACCATTAAGCCTACATCCAGTGGTGTTAATGTCTAACTTCAACCAACCCACGAGATTGCACCACTGTCCACCATTGTCTTCAGTGAGCTACTATATCACAACCCATTCGGTTGAACTCCACTGTTTACGACTTTTCATTAGAACTCCAGGAAATAACTCTTGGAGACAGTTACTGTTGAGCATATAATGATTATAATCTCCACAAAACCCCCTCAAATTTACCTGGACTATTTATCCAGTTAAACTAATTTATCCAAGTAAAACACATTCTATAAGTAATAAATGAATCATTAAAAATATTAAATATCTAACCTGATGGACAAGTGGAAACACAACGACCTTGATAACTTGCATAAGCACAACGTACACATTGTTCTGGGCTAGGTCCATAACATGCAACAGAAGATGATTCAACTAAATTTGATTGTCTTAATGAAATCATTTCTGAATGACATTGTTCATGACATGGTAAACAGATTTGTGCTAAACCATACAATTGTGGTTGAGTATGATTTAATAACCATATAGAAATTTCATGAATTATTTTCGATGAGAAATGATGAAAAAGATTGGCATCAGTTTGACTCCAGAAAAATTGATGAAATGAATTATTTTTTGATGATATTCTTTCATTTTGTTCTTTCATATTGAAATAAACTATTGATTGATGATCTACACTGGAACCTCCTCTGTGATGTAAGTTAATCACATGTTGATAAGTACCATATGGACAACTCTATAAAGATGATCATTAAAAAAATATGAGAACAATGAAAATGATTGAGTTAGATTGAGTGATGACAATCGACTTGAGTCCAAGTCTGATTCATATTTTTTCATTTAAATTTAGTAACTGTCCCTACATGCATGTAGCATTTGGTGAAATACAGTAATATTATTAGTTTAGGGAGTTTGAGGAGATTGGTGAATTTCATAGTTTGTATCATGAACTGATTTTAATTAGACAACCAGTGACCAGCAGAGTTAATCTGTGTCGGGTAGAGACAGGTATCTATCTCAGTACAATGAAAGATGGTCGCGCAATTTCGCGGATTAGTTGAGGTTAGAAATTAACGTCATTGGATGCCTGCCGGCTAAGTGGTCTTTAGGCTAAGCATTTGCGCGTGAGACTAAAGGCCCTGAGTTCGAATCCCGCGGGCGGGATCTTGGGTGCGCACCGCTGAGGAGTCCCACAATAAGACGAAACGGCCATCCAGTGCTTCCAAGTTCTCAATGGTGGTCTAAAATCAGTAGGTTCATGATCTCAATAAAAAAACGTAATAATCCTCACAACCCTATACTGAAAACTATGGAACTCCTGAGCAGTGAGCATCCACAACCCTTTCAGGAATCAAACTCTACTATTACATGTTCAGCAATTAAAACATTTCAAACAGAACTATAGTTAACCTTTCATAGTTATTTAAATTTGAATAGAACTTTTTTGGCTAAATAACACATTCAACTGAATTCATTGAAATGACAGCCAATTAAAAGTCGTCCAGTACTTCCAGGTTTTCACCAATGGTCTAGCTTAGATCGACTCATGAATTAAACTGTTAAAACTACTACAATCTCCATAAATCCTCATTCTGATAATAATCATGTGTTCATTAGTGACTAGCTTCAAGAGGGATTTCCTGGAGTTCTAGTGAGAAGCCGTAACTAGTAGAGTCTCATTCGTCTAGGGTAGAGACAGTCATCCACCTCAGACAATGGATGAAGGGTTGAGCAATATAACATTGTTGGATGCCGGCTCGGTGTTTACAGGTTACGTGTTCGCTTACAAGATCGAAGGTCCTGGGTTCAAGTCTCATTGGTACGGGATCGTTGATATGCACTGCTGAGTAGTCTCACATTAGGACGAAACGGCCATCCAGTACTTCGTGGTTTACAATGGTGGTCTAGCTTAGATTGACTCATGGGTTCAACTGTTAACATTTTATCGTTAAACTTGAAACACAAATGTTAAATTGATTGGTTCATAGGAGTAGTTGCAAGTCAATGATTATAAAGTAGATTGAATCCAATTAATACAACCCAATAAACTTCATATCAATATATGAATCACTGCTTAATTGTGTTTAATTCAATATGGATTAAAGATATGTATTCATGTGAAATTTTTACACACTCAAACCCAGGGCCTTCAATTTCGCCGACTCAGTGGTCTAGTGGTTAAGCATTCGTATGAGGCCGAGGGTCATAGGTTCGATTCTCGCATTCATTATAAACTAAACAATTTCATTTGATCTCTAGAAAAAGTTATGTGAAAGTAAACTATTTTACAGCAAAGCAGTTTGATCCATCCTACTTTATAGCTGTGAAACGTGGCCGGTAAGAGTAGAGGATATTCGTAGGTTACTAGTATTTAATCAAAGGTGTCTTCGAAGCATTGGTCGTATATCCTGGGACTAACGAGTAAGTAACGCAGTTGTTAGGAAGCGGATACTAGGTAAGGATGGCAAATCAATTGATGAAGTAATGAAACTTCATCAGTTGAGATAGCTGGGATATGTGGTAGGTATGCCCAACCACCGACTACCTCGACGTGTGATGCTCAACGGTGTATGAGTAGATTGGAAGGAAGTTAGGGGCGGCCAAACCAAAACATGGTACAAATTCATGAGGTTACTGACAAGTGGAATGAGCCATGTTGGTAGGTGTAGACTACCTTGGTGGGGACCACGAGATGATAGCAACTGATGGTTAGAGACCCTGAATTACATGGCTCAAAATCGTTTCTAATGGTGCAGGTGTATCCACTATTTGTATTCTCCCGAATTCATGTCATTTTTTTCTCTTTCCAAATTTATTTCACTGGATTGTACTCCTTTAATAACATCTTCAAACCTTAATCTTTTCGATTACCACTTATACTTTTACTAGCTCTACCACTATGTGATTTGAATCGACGATTGTATCTGTGCGCTAGTGTGGTATGGTAACTCGAACTGATGTACGTACGTACTGATTGACTGACTGAAAGTAAACTATGTAACAGATAAAATGATTCATAATTATTAGACTTACATTGATACATTTTAAATGATGATTAAAGTTTTTTGGCTCTAAATATAAAACTGTTTGTTTACAATAACTACATCCACCATCACCTGGCCAATCTCCTGATCCTGTACAATAATATTTCAATTTGGTTTCAATTTCTTGATTCAGTAAATTATTATTTATATATATATCACCAGGTGGTGTACATACTAGTGAACATTCCATACATTTCTTAGTTATTGGATCTATATATTTATTAGGTGGACAATAAGCTCTGCAAAATGGACCATCCTAGATTTAAAGAAAATAAATAATTGAAAATTGAAATGTTATATAATTCAAAATATCATCTCTTGTACAAAATCTAGATCACCAATGAATGTCACTTGCCTAGAAGTTGAGCTTTCCTATGCGATGCAAAAAGATCTAGGTTCGACATTCGATGATGGAGTCGTGGACATGGACTGTCACTGAGGTGTGCTTTACTAGGAAGAAACAACTATCCAACTTCTGTAGATTTTCGATAGTGATCTAACTAAGATCAGTTAATTATTTAAATCCTAAAAATATATAATTTCAATGAGATTTTTCTAAGATTTTTAAGATATTTGGATCTTTGGGTTGGTTGCTTTCATGTAGACAGATCATAGAAAATCAATACAACCAATGCCGATCATTCAACTATAGTACAAGTATCATCTGATAATCTTTATGAGTTTAACTGAAACCTGATAAATACAGTATGATTATGTCTTTTCTACATTTCTTAATCCTTCACTATAATACACTTTGTAAACCAAATCATAAGTACAAGAAAACGCATCCATACTCTTCTTTTACCTCAGCATTATCCTGTAAATTTGTTGGCTTTTATTTTATATATTATCTTTTCTTCCTGCCAATTAGTAGAAAACTATATGTGGCAAAATTCTCATCGATAAGATATTGATAATGACACACAAATCATATGGATAGAAAGCAGTACTATAGTTATAAATTCAATTGGTCTTGTTTATTTGTATCGTCCCATTGTTATTTAGGACTGCAATTGATCAGTCTTTTGTTGGTATATGTATGGCACAAATAAACAACACCAAGTGAATTTAAACCTTCACCCAAATGCACAAGCAAGTGGATATCAGGACTCAGTAGCTAAGTGGATAACGCGATGGCGTTTGAAGCTAAGAGTATTGGGTCCGAGTCCCAGTGTAAACATCAACTCTGAGATGCAGGTACATCCATCTGACGAATCCTTAGTAGGATAAAACGCGCGTCACACTGGATTCCACTGCTAGCCACTATCCATTTTTGCTTATAATTGATACAATGGGGAAACCAGAATTAATCAAATGATAAGGTTACATGACGTTAGTCTGAAATGTCCTGGAGGACAAATCCATACCATTGGCTAGGAATCAGATATATATATGTTGGCTACTACTGGTTGTATAATTCTTGAAAATACTGTCAGTAATTTTATTTTGATGGATTTGTACTTTTTCTGAAGAGATAAGTTAACTTAAAATCGCAGCGTGATAATCCTGAGTTGTTCACAGAAATATGACTCATATGTATAACAGACGAGGACGTGTAGTCGACACCTAATCTGGGTCACTTAGCTCCGAGATTACAGACACCCATAATGAGCTTTATATATATCATTAAACCGCATCACGAGGCAAGCCCTAACTTGGAAAAGAGGAAGATCAAAGAACACACTGTGTCGCAAATTGAAAGAAGACATGAAAAGGATGAATAGGGAATGGAAACAGCTGAAAAGGATTGTCCAGGACACAGTTCGATGAAGAATGCTGGTGGGCAGCCATTATTGCTTTATGAGAGGTAACAGGGGTATGAAAGTAAGTAATTCATTCAGTCATACAACGTAAAGTCTAGTGCATATATCATTCATTTCAAATTTCTACTCCAAATTAGCATAGCTAGGTGAAATCATTCAATTAAATCTCATAGTAATAGAATTATTAATAGTATCAGTAATCGTAGGAAGGATTAAGCATAAGAACAAAAGGTGTAGAAGATTTCAGGACTCAGGATCTAGATTAAGACAAAAACAGAAAGCATTTAGGTCATAGAGATAGATTCCACACCATACAACCTAATATCGCTGGCCATTATTTACAATAATCAAGTGGACTCCAAACAAAAAACTTGCAACTACTTACATAACTCAATCCAGATGTTAGTGACTTTACGGACTTATAACATGTTTTGATTCAACCACTGCTAGCTTATTTCCAACTTAATCGTTCCTACATCATCAAACATTACCCATCTAGATAGGTGGTAATTAGTCACATACACAACACTATTCAATCATATAACAATAAGTAATGTTATACTGAATAGTTTTGATGGAGTCTTGTTCTCTGAGTTGGATGGTTTAATCAAACTTCAGGTAGAAATTTATGCTGATGAGATCTCTCAGAAGAACAATGAAAGCTCTATGATCAGAGAACAAAACTTCATCAAAATCATCCATCTAACCTACAAATCATCTCCATAATACTTAATAATCTTTCATAATAATCAACCTATGAACAAAATAGTTAATTATCACAGAGGAAGGATTTGAATGTGATCAAATTGGTCTCGTGTACTGTTACGGATATGAGGGCTGATGTCAATTCCCGGTTGCCCACACTGTGGAAAGGTATTTCTTGAAGAACCTGAAAAGGAAGTTGGATTAATCAAACGAATTTTGTTTACTTACTTGTACAAATCGACATGAACCAATACATTGATCATCATTAGGACCATAACATGTTTGATTTTGTAAATGACACATATCGGAACATTTTCTACATTGTCTTAATGAAACATTATAGTTCAACACTTGATTCTTTTTATCATTGTGATGATATTTATTGATGAATTCAGTAGACTTGTTTAGTTCATGATTAATAACAATCATTGAAGTACTTTGTATATCTTTCATTAGATTTAATCCATTATTGATTATTTGTTCGGAGTTATTAGGTGTATTATTGAATTTTGGTGTATAGTAACCAGGTAGATCTTCACAATTTTGAACACAAATTTTTCCTCCATTATTAATATTATCAATAGACCAATATTTACAATGAAAACAAAATTGTTTACCTGGACCCCAACATCCATTAGATGGTTGACATAATTCATCACATACAGCTCCACGTCCTTCTGTTAATATAAGAATAAAGTATAGAATTCTGTTATTTTAATTGTAAAAATCTTTATAATATTGATTATGATGATTTTTTTTGTAAGCAAGGATGGATAGTGTCTAGCAGTGGAATCCAGGACTCTCGTTTCGTCCTATTTGGGACTCGTCAGCTGGATATATCTGTATCTCAGAGTTGATGTTCACTCTGGGAATCGAACTCAGTACCATTATGGTGAGTTTTCTGTTTTCCGGTAAAAGAGTTATTCATTTTTAATTGAATCTTCCTATTGATGTTTAGGATTGTAATTGATCAATCCCTTATTGGCATATATGTATACTGTACGGATTCCCTTGATATTGCTTTAATTTACAAGTATTATAAGCTTAGATAGATGGTGGATGGCAGTGGAATATAGGATGCACGTTTCGTCCTATTTGGGACTCTTCAACTGAATGTACCTGTATCCTAGAGTTGATGTTCACTCTTGGACTTGAACCCAGTACCGTTTGCTTCAAACGACATCGCGTTATTCACTCGGCTACTGAGTTCTGATAGCCACTTGCTCATGCAATTGGATGAAGTTTAAATTCATTTGGTATTGTTTACTTGAATCTTCCTATTGATATTTAAGACTGTAACTGATCATTCTTTTATAGGTATATATGTATACTGTGAGTTTTGTCTCGATATTCACAAGCATTCTAAGTAAAGATGAATAGTGGCTGGTAGTGGAATCCAGTTTAACTCTTGTTTCGTTCTATTTGGGACTCGTCAAACGGATGTACTTGCAGCTGACGAGTTCAAAATAGGACGAAACACGCATCAAACTGGGTTCCACTGTCAGCCACTATCCATCTTTGCTTATAATGTTGTATAGTTATTAGGTAATGAAATAAAAACGATCTTCTTTCAAGCTCAATCTTGTATACTTTTATTGGTTAAAAAACCTTTGATTTCAATAAAACTTGTAGTGGTTTGGATTATTTCTGTTGTTGACTGTTATTTAATCAATCATGTTTGGAATATGTGCATCCTGTGAGAATTGCCTCGATATGGTCATTATGACGCAAGTTAATACAGAATGCATGCTTCGCCCTATTTGGGACTTGTCGAATGAATGTGGCTGGAATGTCTGGGATAAGAATAGGGTACTAGATAAGGATGGCGAATTGATTGAAGAGATAGTAAATCTTTATCGACTGAGTCGGTTGGGAAATGTATTTCATATGTCCATCCACCTTATACCTCTAAAGGTGATGTGGTTTGATGTAAGATCAGGTTAGAAAAAATCCAGAAGCGGCCAAACTAAAAACATGGTAACAGTTCATGAAGTAATCAGCTATTGGACTGAGTCTTGTTAATAGGTATACATTATCTGGTTTGGGTTTGCGTGATCGCTCTAACCAAAAATAGGAAACTGAATGATATTGCTCAAAATAGTTTTTAATAGCACAAGTACATTCGTTCCTTGTATTCCTCCACTTTATGAGATTGCGAATTCCTCATAATTTTTGTATTTTTGTTACACTAATTTGTATTTTCTTGGATCATATCTTCTATACTTAATCTTTCCTACTACCCTAGATACTGTTACTACCTTTCCTTTTCTGAGTTTTGGCCTGATGATATCATCTCATGTTAACTAGGTGTGGGAAATTGAAACGATGTACACACGTACATGGTTCTACGTTGTGACTGACTTACTGACTCACCTGTATCCTCATGTTGGTGTTGACCTCATGACTCAGAGACAGTACCTTCCACTCCAGACATCACCTAACAAATCCCAAATAGAGCGAAAATTATGTCCTGAGTTCCACTGCTAGTTACATTCTATCGACTTTATATAATCCATGATCTTTTTTTATAACTAACATTTGATAGTTAGTGGATGTTCGAGTCAATGGTAGCTTAACTATATGTTTGTCATTCTGAGCTATAACTTTATGACCTAACGACCTGTAGCTGAATCAATCGTTGTTAAACGATACGGGACTGTCATCTACGTTAAAAAATATCATTTTCTATCAAATTAACACTAGCCAGTTAACTTTCAACCTCAGTTCAACACCATTTCATTCATTGTCTCCATAATTGATTGACCAATCATCTAATTGGTGTAGGTTCGAACCCCATAAGGTGTATTAATCCTCGTAAAAATGCAGATAACTCTTTTGTTAATACCAATCATATCGTAGATCCAGTATTTCCTGTCGACTACTTCCAATCACTTAATATCAAAACATAGTACATTTAGTGACTTTCGGGTGGGGCTAATCATACTGCAACCTGATTGATTAAATATAATCAGCAGTTAAGGCTAAATTTAACCGTTAGTGATCACAATTCATTAGACATAAATCTTCAAAGTATAGAAAATAAAGGTCATATGTTTCCATGAGATTGATGTATTGATGTATATGATGTACTGAAGTAACTTGATCAATGTAAACTACTTACATATTAAGTAGTAAAATGAATAGTTTCCTTATAATTCATAAATCTTTAGTTTACCGAAAACATATATGAAACAAAAGAAAATAATTTATTAGTTGAATTCATGAGTCAAGTGAAGCTAGACCACCATGGAAAACTTAGAATCACTGGACGGTCGTTTTGTCTTACTATGGGACTATTCAGTAGTGCTCATCCACAATCTCGGCTCAAGAGATCCGAACTCATGACCTAACAGTCTCGTACGAGAACGCTTAACCTGTTAACCATTGAGCTGACCGTCATCCAACGGTATTAATGTCTAACTTCAACGAATCCAAGAAATTGCATCACTGTCCACTATTGTCTGTAGTGAGTTACTGTCTCACAATAGACCTAGTTGAACTCTACCGATCACTGCTTTTCACTATAACTACAGAAAACACTTCTTGTAGACCGATAGAACATTAATTTCTTGTTGTCCCGAAGTTATCAAGGATAATATAAAGATCGGATTTTGATTGTTTCTTTATTCGATGGTATATATATGTTTGCGTTTTGGTTACCTTTTTTTTAGAGAGTTAATTTTCTATGGGATGGGGTCACTAACCCCATGTCCAACCCTCCTCCTTTATCCAGGCTTCGGATCGTCAGAAGCCCCCAGAGGGACTCCAGGCGGAGATGAGAAAAATGAACATGAATTGGATGGAACTAGAAAAAATGGTCCAGGACAGTGTGGGTTGGAGAATGCTGGTCGGCGGCCTATGCACCATTAGGAGCAACAGGAGTAAGTAAGTAAGTACATATATATTTTGGGGGGGGGGAAGGGGGATGCATTAAATAAGAATCTTTTTTCAGAATATTCAGATAGTACAATATAACTTACTACAAAATTCAAAATGAGCATTACCACCAACAAAAATAGTTGAATCTTTGAATGGTCGTTTTCTTTTTGATTCTTTCTTATAACGTAATATAATTTGTGTTAATGAATCATTATTGTCATGGTTATTGAATGTTTTATCTATTTTTGAAATCTTTATATCATTATCATGATGTTCATCTATGAATGTTTCATCATATAATAAACTTGTCCAATCAATTGTATCCACATAACATAAACGTGGATTCCCTGTAATTAATATACTTGGATGACCTAATTTTTGTAATGATTTCATACCTAAAAATTCTAAATGATGATTAAGATTTATATTGACTGTTCGAGTTTGTTGAATATTTGAACTAACTATATATATTAGTAAAACAAAAAGTTAAAAAAAAAGAAAAGAAAAGAATTATGAATTGAATAAGTAAGTTAATAGTTGAATCTTCTAAGTCAATTAAAGTTAGATTATCATGAAAAATCTGGTCCCAGTATGGAACTTTCCAGCTGTGTCCGCACGCGAAACCGATATGTCATGGATTAGAATCATCAGATTGGGATCGTGGATGCGCATTGTTGAATAGTTCTATACTAGAACTAAATGGCTGTTCAATGCTTCCAGGTTTTCGATGAATTCAACTATTAAATCTGTATCAGTTCATTGTATTATCAGGAAATTAAAATGTTACACTAAATTTAATCTTATAATATCGCTTCGTTGTAACTGTGGTCAGTGGTCGAGATCTAATTTAATTTAGCTAACATACTGTCCGATTTGAGTACTAGGTCAATTGATGTGGTACGACTTTACTTACTTACTTACTTACACCTGTTACTCCCAATGGAGCATAGGCCGCCGACCAGCATTCTCCAACCCACTCTGTCCTGGGCCTTCTTTTCTAATTCCATCCAATTCATGTTCATTTTTCTCATGTCTATTTGCATTTCTCGGCGTAATGTGTTCTTTGGTCTTCCTCTTTTCCTTTGGCCTTGAGGATTCCATATGAGGGCCTGTCTTGTGACGCAGTTGGGTGCTTTCCTCAATGTGTGTCCTATCCACTTCCAGCGCTTCTTCCTGATTTCTTCCTCCACTGGAATCTGGTTTGTTCTTTCCCACAGTTGGTTGTTGCTAATAGTGTCCGGCCAACGGATCTGAAGTATTTTGCGTAGACAACTGTTAATAGACACCTGTATTTTCTAGATGATGGCTTTCGTAGTTCTCCAGGTTTCCACCTCATACAGTAGAACTGTGTTGACATTTGTATTGAAAATCCTGACCTTGGTGTTGGTTGACAGTTGCTTTGAGTTTCAGATGTTCCTCAGTTGTAAATATGCTGCTCTTGCTTTGCCGATCCGCGCCTTCATATCTGCATCAGATCCAACCTGTTCATCAACGACGCTGCCCAAATATGTAAAGGTTTTTACATCTTCCAAATCTTCTCCGTCAATTGTGATTGTATTGGTGCATGCTGTGTTGTATCGGAGAATCTTGCTTTTCCCTTTGTGTATATTGAGACCTACTGCTGCTGAGGCTGCTGCTACATTGTTCGTCTTCTCCTGCATTTGTTGTTGCGTTTGGGATAGAGGGGCCAGATCATCTGCAAAGTCTAGATCGTCTAACTGCATCCTAGATGTCCACTGTATCCTGTGGTACGACGTATTTTGACATAATGTCAATTTGACTAGATGATAACATATGATGTTACCCTTAGATTGGTTGATCTTGTTTGTAATGATAAATCATACATTCTAACATGAACAGACAATCCTTTACTTTTGTAAAGATTATCCAGTGTTGTAGATAATCTATTGTGTTCACTTTTAACATGGATAACTATGTATGTTATGATTACTCACAAATGTAACATAAGTCTATTCCAGATTTTTTCATTGATGATTGCATAACTTTGATTTAGTCAGCTGTAGAATGTCATCCGCTATTTGCTAACCTCTTATGATTCGTCAAATAACGAAATCTATTAATACATTGAATAGTTCTATACAAATCTTTCATTTAATTAAGCTCGTTTGTGCATATGAACAAAATTCACCTGGCAAAAAAATGTATGTGTTGTAATAATTTGATTACTAGTGACTAATTTTGAGAGGTGATTTTTCAAAGATTATATTTGAACCATGACCGTTGGATTCCGTGGTCTTGAGTGCTGTTATAGGCATGAGGAAGGTTATCACTTCCTGGTTTCCCACACCGTGGAAGGGTTCTTCTGGAGGTACTTGAAGACAAAATTGGATTTGAGGTGGTCTTAGTGATCTGAGTGTGTGACCGCAGTGCTCAAAGGACAACTACTTGAGGTCGGTCACACACGATGGAGACGAATATCTGTGGGATAAGGTGAGGTGTGCCTTTTTAATATCGACCTTTTCTAACCCCACCCCTCCTTGTGGAAAGGCAGAATCGCTGATATGCTGGTTGCCTGAAGGAAGCATCTTACTGCTGCCACACTTATGTACAGTCAGCAGTACGACTTTGCCTTTGGACGTTGGGTTAGCTGCTCTTAGTCTTACCGTTCTTCAACTGACCTGTCTGGCATGGTAGGACTTTGAGGACCGATTGCTTCAGCCAGTATAACTCGATTGGTTCATCACGATATGCAAGCCCGACCACCACGTCAAGGTAGCAACAACGGTCGGGTTGGATTCCAGTCACATCAGATGTGAGTTATTTACTCACTAATTCTATTGAAAGATGCTTGTTCAGTATCTCAAGTTGATTGAAATTAGAAAGAAATATAAACCATTAGATGATAATCTTATTTTCTAAACAGTAAGCGCTAAATACAAGACCCGTAGTTCTCAGGTTTTATTTCCGGTATAATCTTAGTCATATACTCCAGAGAAGTTTTATACGAAAACAAAGCGTCTGTCTAATACTTCCTGTCTTTCATCTGTCATTTAACTATGATCAAACAATGATTTCAATTGTTAGAAATGTGACAGATCGCAAAATCAGTCTAAACGTAATCAAAACTAAAGATTAATCACATTTATAGATATCAGTAGGCCTCAATATGCACAAAAGAAAAACCAAGATCCTCAAATACAACACGTAGAACACTAACCCAATCACATTTGGTGGCGAAACTTTGGAAGATATGGAATCTTTCACGTACCTGAAAAGCATGATCGATGAACAAGGACGATCGGATGCAGACGTAAAGGCGAGTATTGGCAAAGAAAGGGCCGCATTCATACAATAGAAGAACATATGGAACTCAAAACAACTATAAACCAATATCAGTCACAATCTTCAACATGAATGTCAAGACTGTCCTACTGTATGGAGCTGAAACGAAGAGAACTAATACAAGTACAAGTATTTATAAATAGTTCTCTTTGCAACATACTCAACATCCCTTGACAGGATAACATCAGCAACAGCCTACTATGGGAGAGGACAAACCATCTTCCATCTGAAGAGGAAATTAGGAAAAGACGATGGAAGTGGATAGGACATACATTATGGAATTCACCAAACTGCATCACGAGGTAAGCCCTAACTTGGAATCCTGAATGGAAGTGGAAAAGAGGAAGGCCAAGCAACACACTACGTTGAAAATTGGAAGCAGATATGAGAAGAAACAATATCAACTGGAAAAGATTGTCCACGACATAGTTGGATGGAGAGTGTTGGTAGGCGGCCTATGTTTCTTGAGGAAGGGAAACAGGCGTAAGTAAGTAATATTTATCGATAAATACAATATGACAACAATCATTTAATTATTAGTCTTACTTCCTCCAATTATTTTCACATTAGATAGAAATGTTAAATTAGTCATCCATGGAGCATGTGATCCAGCACTAATATAAAGTGTTCCGGTAATATACTTTAATTTGGATAAACCAATTACAAGATCTTTCCATTTTACACCTTCATCAACTTGTGACAAATTATAAAATGGATCACTATAAGAAACAAAATACAAAATGTTTATTTGTTTAGTTGTTTTGTTTTAATTAGTTGAATTCATGAATTAATTGAAGCTAAACAACTGTGGAAAACCTGGAAGCATTGGATGGCTGTTTCATCCTATTGTGGGACTACTCAGCAGTGTACATCCACCATTCCGCACCGCGAGATTCGAACCTAGGACTAATCAGTCTCGCGAGCGAAGGCCTAAACCTCTGGACCACTGAGCTGGCCAACGTCCAACGGTGTTAATGTTTAATTTCAACTAATCCACGATATTGAGAGAAACATCTACCATTGTCTTCAGTGAGTTACTATCTCACAACAGACCCGGTTGAACTCCACAGATCACTGCTTCAAACTAGAATTCTAGGAAATACCACTAGAAGCCAGTCACTAGTGAGCATATGCTGATTAGTATCATAGGGGTTTTTTGTGGACACTATAGTAATTTTAATAGTTGAATTCATGAGTTAATTGAAGCTAGACCACTATGAAAAACCTAGAAGCATTGAAGGGCTCCTTCATGCTATTATGGAACACCTCAGAAGTGTGCATCCATAATCCTGCCTTGCGATACAGTACAAATTGATGATGAATATTGAATATTTGATTTAAGAATATATACATGAGTATTTGTGCAATTGATTGACCGTGGAATAGTATCTTATATCATGATTGTTTTTTCCCTTGAGTGGTCAAACAGTTCTATCGTTAAAGTTGTAATACGATCTCTAGTCCAAGTGACTCGATTTAGCGTACACTGTGTTCTGATTTTAGGTATTAGAAATTAATCAGTAAGAACCTCTGGATCTAGACTTTTCTAACTACATTGTACTCGTCAATAAGGAGTACCGTTAATCCATAAGAGACTGGTGTTATTTGTGAGATTTGAAGTTTGAGATGTTGCTATTAAACTGTTATTTATGAAACTGATAAACTGTATGATTAAGTTGTCAATATTGACTGATTACTGAAAACTGACTAGTATTATGTTTATTTAATCTTTTTAAATGATGAACAATTCAGTAGTGACATATCATACTGTGAAGTTGATTGATATGTCATTGAATCCTATAGGGAGCACTCTCTAAACTAAAAGTTTCCAGGTTTGATCTCCAATGACAAAGTCGTAAAAATACTCAATACTGAAGAGTTCTATACTGAAACTATACGGTTGTACAATTCTTCCAGGTTTTCAGTATTTGTCCAAGATTGATCGGTCCGCGTATAACAATTAGTCGATCAATCAATCACAACGATTAAGGGAAATGCTAATAAATTGAAGTTAACAAGATAAGGGAAGATAATATTATCTCATTCTACTGACATATTACGTAAACACTAGTGTTATAAATTACCCGATAAATGATTGCATTGATAGTTTTATATCACCTTCAAATACTGTACAATTTTCCATAGCATGAAGTGATTTCCGATGTAAATAATCAATCCCTTTAATTGACTCAATTTCATTTAATGTACAAACTGAAATAAATACATAATTCAATGATTCACAAATAAGGATATATTTGTATGGACAGTAAAATAATACGTTAATGAAAACTGATAATATACAAGCCAAGGAGGCACCAAATACATATGCGCCACACAAATCTCATTCGATATGTGTGAGGGCTGTGATACTGATCGAGTGCCCAAACCAAAGCAGGTGCTTTCCTTAGGGAACCACACCTGGAGCCTTCGACCTGAAGGTCTGATCCACAACACAGTGGAGCATCGTAAGAAGATGCAGTCCCATGCTAGCCGGTGACCAACGATAGATTCATACTCCACCTGTTCCTTTATTACCCTGGAGCCCATGTGCACCATTGGTTTGGAATCAGGGATTTCTAACTCCTCTAAGTGGAACCTCCATGTCCACCAACCTGGTTAAGGCGCCGGACATTTGCTTTTCGTCCTCTCAATTTCGTAGACAACACCCGTGGTGCGAGAAGGCAGTGAGTAGGACTTCCCTGGCAGTGGCTATATACGCGTGACTATGTGAGAGCATTTGGAGAGGGAGAGCTGACTCTTCCCACTCTCGGTCGTACCAGGGCATTTGGGGGCATATACAAGCCAACAACCAAATATAATTGCAATCAACCAAATTTTGTATATTAATGAGCTAAATGTAGTGAACAAAAACACAGGTGAGGACAATCAAATGTATTTGAATACACAATTACAGCATCTCTTAGTAAAATCTAAGAACCCTACATCTAGCTGACGAGTCCCTAATAGGACGAAACATGGGTCATAGATTCCATTGTAAGTCACTATCCATCTTTGCTTATAATGTTTATGACATAAGGCATTATCGAGGTAGTTCGCACAGGATGTACATATGCTAACAAGAGACCGATAAATTTCAGTGCTACCCAACAAAAGAAAGATTCATGTAAAACAACACCAAGTGAATTTATACAGTAAATAATTCATTTGATTGTTCCTTCATTTCCATACCAATCATTCTCTGTTATCGTTCTCCTCTATTCGATTTTATCAACTTTCTACTGCCAGGTTTCCACTTTTGATTGGCATTACATACTACTTATATTGGTCGACGTTAGTAGTATACATTACACAGTGACCAGTTATTAATTACTACTTCAGCTGCTTCCTACCAGATAAGATTAGTTTGAAAAAGTGTTTAGAATGACTAATCATGAAACATGAATGCCAAATGATGAATATTATTTGCAAAATTCTACAATTATTTAATGGATCTAAGATTAGAAGAAGATGGAAGAGGAAGAAACGGTCATCTAGTGTTTCCATGTTTTCAATGGTGATCTAACATTGATCAATTTATGATCTCAAACAAAAACTCAATCTCATATGGATAAAAGCGGATTTTTAATACCAGTTGAATTTAACTTGAGAACAGAGTATCTAAGTAGCAATTACAATATGATGCTTTTAGAAATAAAGAAAGGTATTATTTCACAGCCAGGTAACAGTAGGGGAGATAGAAACTATTAAAGTAAGTGAAAGCTTTTAATTTGATGAACTTCTTTTTAGACTGTTTTGAATTATAAGCAGACATGGATTGTAGATAGCAGTGGAATCCAGGACGCGCGTTTTGTCTTATTTTGGACTCGTCAGGTTGATGTAACTGCTACTCAGAGTTGATACAAGTAAACAACATCAAGTGTTTTAAATTATTTTCTCTTTAGATCATTTAATCAACATTTATTAATGCTCTATTACGACTTAATTCAGTCAGTCAGCAACAATGTCAAACTTCAGATCACCTTGTCCTACCCACATTAGCACAGAGATACAATCGTCGATTCAAATCCCGTAGTGGTAGGGACGGTAAGAGTATGAGCAGTAATCAGAAAGATTAAGGTTTGAAGATGTTATTCAAACAGTATAATCCAGTGAAATAACTTTGGAAAGAAAAAAAAAGAGAAAAGGAGGATTCAAGAGATTAGAATTTGTGAGAACACAAAGAGTGGATACACCTGCACCATTGCAAACGATTTTGAGCCATGTCATTCAAGATCTCTAACCACTGATTGCTATCGTCTCGCGGTCCCCAACCAGGTAGTCTACACATACCAACATGGCTCAGTCCATTTGTCAATGACTTCATGAATTTGTGCCATGTTTTGGTCTGGTCACCTCTAGTTTTCTTCCATCCTACTCTTACACCATAAAACATCGCACATTGGTGGTTGGGCATACGTAACACGTGTCCCAGCCATCTCAACTGATGAAGTTTCATTACTTCATCAATTGATTTGCCATCCTTACCTAGTACCCGTTTCCTAACAACTGCATCCCATACTTAGTGGTCCCAGGATATACGATCAATGCTTGGAAGACACCTGTGATTAAATACTAGTAACCTACGAATATCCTCTACTCTTACCAACCATGTTTCACAGCTATAAAGTAGGATGGATCAAACTGCTTTGCAGTATATCTACAATTATAAAGATTGAAATATGAGAATTAGGTAAAAAAATATAATCCAAGGTAAGACAAAGTGTGTATTTTTCTTGGACCAATATGATTGAATAGCAACCATATCACCCAACGTTTCCAACCAAGTAATCTGAATTTATGAATCATCCAGTTTGATCCATAGAATTTAACTAACATAAAGAATCATATAAAAACGACTTTATTTGATACTTAGTGACCAATGAATTTCAATAACTTTGACAACAGAATCATCATATTATTTGTATTGGACTATAAATACATACAACTTTGGTTGATTAAAGGTAAATTATAAATGGTAATAAATTCATTTGAATCTTCCCATTGATGTTTAGGACTGTAATGGATGCCCATTGTACAAGCAAGTGGCTATCAATACTCAGTAACTAATTGGATAATGCGATGAAGTTTGAAGCGAACAGTACTGGGTTCAAGTTCCAGAGTAAACATAAACTCTGAGATACAGGTACACCCAATAGACAACTCCCAAATAGAACGAAACGCAAAACCTGGATTCCATTGCTAGTCACTATCCATCTTATAAATAGTAAGTTTTGATTAAATTTTCCCAATATAGTTTTTATCTAATGAAGATCTTATAGAAAATGAAACAATAATGAACACTTATCATTAACTTACTTTTAGGACAAATAGAATTTGGACAAGGTATACATTCACCTTGATATGCCATATATCCTGAACGTGCACATTTTGATACACAATGATCATCATCTCGTAGATACGTTTCTCAGTAAAACAAAAGAACAAAAATGAGAAAAATAATTGTTTTTCACACTAATTTTAAGTGAAAATTCTATCGAATGTCTGATTATTGAAGTATTTAATGGATGCTGAGATGAAATCAATAGTTTAATATTTCCCCTAGTGGTTTTATGTAATAAATTGTTCCTTCAGGAAACTAACTAATAGAATCCATTCATTTAATAGTTAAATTGATGAATTAGACTACTATGGAAAAACTGGAAGCATTGGATAGCCGTTTTGTTCTAGTATAGGACTCCTCAGTAATATGCATCCACGATCTCGCCTCAAGAGATTCAAACTCAGGTCCTATTAGTCTAATGCGCGTACGCTTAACCTGTAAACCATTGAGCCGTGGTGGTCTAGCTTTAATTGACTAATGAATCCAAAACCACTCTCTGGTTAAAGTTCGTTCATGTTTAATTTGGATTAACTAAAAATAATATGGGGAAATATTATATATAATTCTGTTAGAGTACTACAATTCGTATAATAATGTATGAACATTCTGTATCTTCCAAATGTCGTAAAACTAATAGTCCAGGTACTTGTGAACTGATATTGTGCTTTGGTTCAATTGAGACTAGGTTTTTTTCCAAAGTACTCGTCCAAAAATCAACAAAGTACACAGGGGGAGTCAAATGTAAGAATAGTGTAGAAGAGCATATTAAAGTAATAACAGTTGCTAATCGCTCAGATTGTTGTGTGACCTACTTACATCAAAATAAGAAGTATATAACTCTAGTCAGGAATAGAATGTCTAGCAGCACAAGATCAAGATTATCAAGCAGGAAAAAACGGGAACAGAAAGCAATTGGTATGGAAATGCAGCAACATTAGAGTCTGATACCATTCACTGATATTTGCAAAATGAACAGTCAAGTTTGAGACAATTGATTGACATTTTACAAATGAAGTATTCACTGTATCATTCTCAGATTTTAGTGTGATGTTCTGTAATTTTATATCCGAAGACATTCGATTGTCCCTACTTGTGTTCTCGTTCACTACATTTGGTGTCGTTGCCAACCAGGAGGGGGGGTGGAAGTGTGCTGTTTTGTGGACACCGATGCGGGCTTGTGACTGAGGTGCTTGTTGGTGTGATGTGTGCTACTTATATCGATATCAGTAGTATATAACATCAGTAAGGAATAGAATGTCTAGCAACAGAAAGTCAATTAAGTATTCACTATATGAATCTTAGATTCGATTAGTCGCCAAGGCGTCATTCACTTAGTTACTGTTACCTCATAACTATTTATTTTCATTTATTATTTGTTTTTGATTAATTAATTAATTAATGAACTTACTTGGACAAGATTTTACACAGATCATTCCAAATGTTAATAAACCATCTGGATTTTCTACCCAACTAAATGTAGATTTATTATATTTTTTGGATGCTGGACATGAATCTGTACAAACACCACGATTTGATAGATGTAAACATGCCTAGAAAGATCAGACAAAACAAAACAAATAAGTGGCATAGTGATAAGTAAATACACTTAACGATGCTTTCTATTCGATAGTTTCTAATCCATTCAAAAATGTCTATTGGGATTGAAATAGTGTCAATTGACGATCCATTTGAAAGCTGTACAGAATAACAAACGTAAAGTATAGTTCCAGGCCCACATCGGCGTCCGTAGAACAAAACTCTTCCCCACTCCTGATTGGCAGCGATACCAAATGTGGAGAACGAGAACATAAGAGGGGACAATCGTAAAATCTAAGAACCATACAGTAAATACTTTATTTGCAAAATGTCAATCAATTGTCTCATACTTGACTGTTCGTTTTGCAAATATCAGTCAGTCGTCTTACAATTCATTATTCCTGCATTTCCATATCAATTACATGATAATAATGACCTTCTGCTGCTAGACATTCTATTCCTTACTGGTGTTATATACTACTGATATCGATATAAGTAGCACACATCACACCAACAAGCACCTCAGTCACAAGCCCGCATCGGTGTCCACAAAACAGCACACTTCCACCCCCCTCCTGGTTGGCAACGACACCAAATGTAGTGAACGAGAACACAAGTAGGGACAATCGAATGTCTTCGGATATAAAATTACAGAACATCACACTAAAATCTGAGAATGATACAGTGAATACTTCATTTGTAAAATGTCAATCAATTGTCTCAAACTTGACTGTTCATTTTGCAAATATCAGTGAATGGTATCAGACACTAATGTTGCTGCATTTCCATACCAATTGCTTTCTGTTCCCGTTTTTTCCTGCTTGATAATCTTGATCTTGTGCTGCTAGACATTCTATTCCTGACTAGCGTTATATACTACTTATGTCGATATATGTAGCACACATCATAATAATATTGAATATCATTATATTGTAAATAATTTAATAAACTTATTATATCCAGGTATCTGAGATCAAATTATAGTGAACACGATAACGTGTGAAATGGATTATTGACAGAATCCAATCAGCACTAAAGGATCAAACAATCACTAAAGTGGTCACTACTAAGTGGTTAATCAATGTAAACATCTCAAAGTTATAGATGTCAAACGAGGCAGAAATAGCTTAGTGTTAACCTCTTAGGCGTCAAAACTGAATGACCAGGATTATAATCTACCAGAGAGTACAAGTTTCTCCGAAATTCCAGGTACACCTCCATGAAGAGTATGAGACAGCATAACCTCGTGCGCGAGAACGAAGGTCCTTGGTTCTAGTCCCATGTATAGTATCGTGGATTCGCAATATTGAGGAGTTCCATACTAGCGCATAGTAGTGTTTTCAAAGGAACCACAACTGAAATCAAATATTACCAAACAGTATTTACACTATGATAATTATCTACTAAAATATATTTACTTGTGAATTTTTATTGCATTATAATTTTTTACCAAACGGTCCGCTAATCTAGTTAAGTGTTCAAAAACACTTCTCTCAATGTTTATCTAATATTCACTGGAATTGAGATCAGGAACCACCACTGAAAACCTAGAAGCACTGGACAGTCATTTCATCCTATTGTAGAACTCCCCAACAGTGCACATCAACGATCTCGCTCGCGGGATTCGAACCCAGGGCCTTCGGTCTAGCGCGCGAACGCTTATTCTCTAGACCACTAACCGACCGGCATCCAACAGTGTTAATGACTAACCTCAACCAATCCACAAAATAGCGCGACCATCTTCCATTGTACTGAGGCAGATACCTGTCTCTATCCGATGCAGATTAGCTCCGCTAGTCGCTGGTCTAACATCAATCGGTTCATGATCTCAATCAAAAAAACTTAACAATCTCTACAACCTCATACTGATATTTACTTGAATCATGAAATTACTTAGTTATTTTATTTATAATATCATAATTTAAAGAAAGAAATCGTTATCTTATTGATATAACATACATTACAATCACGAGCTCTTGGACCATAACAACTAGCTGCACATTCAGAATGACAACATTGTTCGTTTGTTGTAGTGAGAAAATTCGAATTTGTTTGAAATTTATAATAAGATAAATTTTTTTCAGAATATTCATTAGATTTTATACGAAAACACCAATTCGATCCTTCACATAGACGAACTTGACATTTATGAACTAAACAACAACAACAAAAAATGCAAACAGTTATATGGGGTGTAATTGTTAATGAATTATATATCAGAAGGTAAGAATGATAACAATCATCATAGGCTCATTAGTGACTAGTTTCAAGAGGTATTTCCTGGAGATCTGATGGGAAGCGGTGATCAGTAGAGTTCAACTAGGTTTAATGAGAAATAGAAACTCACTGAAGACGATGCAGGATGTGTTGCTCAATATCGTGGATTAGTTGAAATTAAACATTAACACCACTGGAAGTCGGCCAGCTCAGTGGTCCAGAAGTTAAGCGTTCGCTTGAGAGACCGATAAGTTCTGGGTTCGTATCTCTCAGTGCGGGATGGTGGATGCGTACTACTGAGTAGTCCCACAATACTAGGACGAAACAGCCATTCAGTGTTTTGCGGTTTTCCATAGTTGTTTAGCTTCACTTAATTCATGAATTCAACTATAAAACTACTAAAATCTACACAAAACCCATTCAAATATTGAATTACATAATTTTATGTTGAAAACGTTTAAACTTTGATATCCAATCTTAGAAAATGAATGAAAAAGGTAGATTGTAAAACAAAATTTAAAATGTTTGTGTCAAAATGAGACAAACTGGATACTGCCTCAGTTGTTTACAGGTTAAGTGTTTGCATACGAGACCAAGGATTCTGGGTTCGAGTCCTTTTAGTGTGGAATCGTGAATGCGCACTTCTAAAGAGTCCTATACTAAAACGAAACGGCCTTCCAGTTCTTCACGGTTTTCAGTGGTGGTTAGCTTAGATAGACTTATGAATTCAACTCATAAAATACCACAATCTCCAAAACATTTTATTCTGATAATAATCATGTGCTCACTAGTGACTGGCTTCAAGTTAGAAGTACTGGAGTTCTAGTGAAAAGTTGTGAACAATGGAGTTTAATCCGTGTTGTGTGTGAGATAGCTATCTACCTCAGACAATGAATGAAGGGTTGTGCAAGATCATGGTTTGATTGAAGTCACACATTAACATCATTAGATGCTTGCTCAGTGATCTACAGGTTAAATGTTCGAGTGCGAGGCCGAAGATTCTGGGTTCCAATCTCTTTGCTATGAAGTCGTGGATGAGGATTGCTAAAGACCATTAGGAGTCCTGTTTGAATATTTGTACCCCATGTTCCTTCCATTTAGATATTTCAACAAGTTATCTATTCTGTTTGTTTGTTTATTTTGCCACATCATTATGCTTATTTGTCTCATAACCTATTCAGGTGTATTTGTTAAATGTTTACAATATTTCACTGTACAAGTTACAAAAAATAACCCAATCAAAGATAACCTAGTTGCTGGCAATATGCATCGTAAAGAATAATCCATTATTCAATTGTCGATGCCTGAACTACTAACATCTAAACTAGTGATCATTCAATATTGATCGTCAGGATCGATCAAGAAATAAGATACGAGAATTTGTTGAATAACTTTATGCTGAGAATTCTATAATGTACCAAAAATAGAATATTGAATAAAGTCAATAATAATCGTTTTTTTTGTTGAGATCATGAGCCGATTGATGTTAGATCGCCATTGGAAAACTGGAAGCCCTGGACGGCCGTTTCGTCGTATTGTGCAACTCAGCAGTGCGCATCGACGATCCCACCCGTGGGATTTGAACCCAGGGCCTCCAGTCTCGCGCGCGAACGCTTAACCTACTAGACCACTCAGCCGGCATCCAATGGTGATAGTGGCTAATATCAACTCATCCACGAAATTGCGTGACCATCTTCCATTGTACTGAGATAGATACCTGTCTCTACCGCACATGGATTAGCTCCACTGGTAATAGACATATAAAATTCCACTGACTGACAAAGAATATTATCAAGAATTAAAGGATTGAATAAGAAAAACATAATTACCTGCTTGACACTGATTTCGTCCTGGACCCCAACAATAACGTTTCCCTTGAATCAATGGACAAGCTGTATGACAAGGTAAACTAGGATATTTCATTGAATAATTAATGAATGATTTATTTTCACTTTTTAAAAGATCCAATTCATTTGTGTGATTATCTTCATTGATGTATTGATTTAATGTTACCATCATAGAACTGGTGATATTTTCATGAGAAGTAGGTAGGTCAGTTATAGAATAAGTATTCAATACTAAGTTATTGTTGTTAGGTGTTTTAGTTTCTATGGTTGTTGTAACTGGTATGTTTGTATCATAAATAACAGTTGTAAAATATGATTCATTCAAGACTTCAAAGAAGAGAAAAAGAGTATAAAATTGTATTGATGAAACTTTGAACAAATAGTAATAGTAATGGATAACTGCATCGAATAGAGACCAATTCTATTATGTGTACTAAACACATCATAATCTAACCGTATAAGCAGTCTAGAATCCTTATTGGCCCCACTTCCTGTCTAGCCCAGCCACTTAAGTCCAGAATACCAATCTCAAAAACCTCTGCGATATGAACCATTTATTTCAAACATACTGGAGTTTATATACCAATCAAACAGACCACATCGTACCATAAAATAGGAAACAACATTTGCACAAGAATTAGCCCAAAGTGACTGTGAATGATGGAGGTAGTGATTAATAGACTGGGCATAACTCAAAGAGTAGTAAGTCGTATAATAATAGTTCATAGGTCAAAATAAAGCTCATAATAAGAGGGACAAGAATATGGATAGTTTAGTTACTTAACAGTTATGCGATAAGAATATACGTATAGTATTATTCCTGAAATAGATTCCACCAGTTACCATTGATTATTGTCATTGGGATATAACAATAATATACAAAAGAAAGAATGTATATAAGGATATAGTACAGGAAGAAAGAATTTGTTTGTAGAAAGAAAGATATGAAGCAATTTTAATCTCATACTTTAAAGGAAGACAGAGAGTGTATACACCTACATCATTGTGATCGATTCTGAACTATGTCACCCAGAGTCTTCGACCACTGGTCATGATGGTTGCGCGGACTCCAACCAAGTAGTCTACACCGACCAACATGTCTAAGACTTGTTGTTAACAAGTTTTAAATTAATCCATAGAAAATATTTAATCATTAAAAGTGCCGATTTATTATTTGAACTAAAAGTACATAGTTTCACGAATGTTATCACTAAACGTCCAAACATGACTTATCATTTATAAAAATGGAAACAATCACACTGTTTACTTATTATGGTCATTTCGCTGAAGCAAAAATTAATCTTACTTAAATTACAAATCAATTAATTTAACAGTTGAATAAGTCAGTTGAAGCTATACTACCTTGGAGAACCTAGAATCACTGGACGGCCGTTTCGTCCTTGTATCGGACTCCTTAGAAGTGCGCATCCACGATCCTGCTTGTGGGACTCAAACTCAGGATCTATCGGTTTTGCGTGTGAGTACTCAACCACTAAACCACTGAGCTATCCGTCATCTTACGGTGTTAATGTCTAACTTTAAGCAATTCACGAAATTGGGCCATTATTCACCATTGTTTTCATTGAATTACTGCCTCATAGCAAACGTAGTTGAAGTTTACTGGTCACGGCTTCTCAATAGGACTGTTCGAATTTCGTGAGCGGGATCGTGGATACACAATGCTGAGGAGTCCCATACTAGAATGAAACGGCCGTCTAGTGCTTTCAGGTTTTCCATAGTGGCCTAGCTTTTATTATCTGTAATTTCGTGTTCAAATACATTTGGTTGTCCCGTTCTGTATTCTCGTTCACTACACTAACTCCGCCTGGAGTCCCTCCGGGGGCTACTGCCGGTCCCAAGCCCGGATAAAGGAGGAGGGTTAGGCATGGGGTTAGCGTCCCCATCCCGTAGAAAACTAACTCGCTAAAAAACCCTAACCAGAAAAAAAAATTCAAACCTTAACACTATCAGCGAAACATATACATGGTGTTGTCACCCATCGCTACACCTAACTCGTCAAAAGAATCATAAACTGAAATCAAATTTTCACGAATACCACCAGACAAGGTAATTAAAACAAATAGCGACAGAAAATAAGGAGAGGAAAAGTGTTCATGAGCTTGAAAAAGATTAATTCATTAATCCACAAGCTTTATAAGCAAAGATGGATAGCTGCTAGCAGTGGAATTCAGGACGCGCGTTTCGTCCTATTTAGGACTCGTCAGCTGGATATGCCTGCATCTCAGAGTTGATGTTCACTCTAACATGAAGTATGTACTTTTCAGTAGGAAGAGTAAATTGTATGCGGTAATGGTTCAATGGTACAATCAAAATTTTCAATCCTGTGGAAAAGATGACTTCATATTGACCTAAGGCAGAGATGTGTTTATATTTTTCAATGTAAATCGTAATGGTTAAGCGATTATCATCTTCAATGATTTGGCAGCTAAACGAGTGACGTTATGAAGATTTGAAACTGTAGAAATTGACTTCAAACTTCCGTTAGAAAATCGAAGTTGGAATACTAGTGAATCACGTCAACAATTATGACACAGGACTGAACAAGTTTTCGAGATTCCATATTTACCACTAATCAAAGAATAGTTGTTTGAGCCAAGATAAATAGTAGCTATCAGTGGAATCCATGATGCACATTTCGCCCTTCTTTGGACTCGTCGGTTGCATGTACCTGCATCTTAGAACCCTTGTTCACTATGGGACTCGAACCCGATACCGTCCGCTTCAAAAACTATAGAGTTATACACTTAGCTACTGATTCCAGATAGCGAATGTCTTGTAGAGTGAGGAGAATTCTAATTCACATGTGAACATCAACTCTGAAATGAAGTTAAATCCACCTGATGAGTTTCGAATACGATGAGACTTGTGTCCTGGATTTCACTACTAGTCACCATCCATCTTTGCGCTAAAAATCATTATGGCTTAATGGCAAAATTGAAGCAACATGCCCTATACAACCAAAGGCTATTATTAGGATTCGAGAGACATTTGGGCGATTAACAATTAAGTTATAGAGAGAGATTTGTGCGTAGGCTGTCACATGTGAACAAGCATATAGATATGATATTGAACGTAATTTCTTCAACCTACCTTCATTTGAAGTATGATTATCAAATGGTGTTTCTATAACAGCTACAGTTGTTTCATCATAAATCATTTCTGAAGCCAAATGATTATCATCCATATAAATTTCATTTAATTTTGTGCCTATTTTTGGCATGAATATATCATTTTGTACAATATTTTGAAATTCCAATGTATCACCATGATTTGAATTTAAATGATTAGGCTCATTATCAATGTTTCCAGTTTGAGATATTGAATAAGTAGTATGTACATTTGATGTAATATTGGTTGTGTTCAAATCATCTTGATCAAATTCCATGACAGTGTCGATAACTTTTATTTTTTTTTAGAAAATAAAAAAAACATGACTAATGTAATCTATTCACTCAGGTACTGATTACATATAAGTTCATCTACTACTAAGCTATAATATTAGTAATATAATTTAATAAACTAAAAATCATTCAGTAAATCCGAGTAAAATTTTGATTGTCATGAAAATTTATTGATAATTTTACTGAACTTGAACAATAATATAAGTACTGAATAGATTTACTCATTCAAACAATGGTTTATCATGTCACCTTCATCATTTCACATTGTGTCGTTTTCAGTTTAGTAATTCACTACAGATGTGAACTGTAGTGTCAGTTATTATGCCAAGCCCATATACCTTATTCTAGCTTTCGGACATCCCATTTTATTCATTCTGCTTGAGCTATACTTTGACCTTGTTATTTATTCGCTTATCAATCTAGACTGTTTTTATATGAGCGTATATGTGTGTGCCCTTCTTATCGCATTAATCACATGTCTGTAGCTTTATTTTGTCTGACTATAAATATTGAGTAACGCTTGACAAAGATGGAGTTGGCTTCCCAGCCATCTTCCCTGCGCGTCATTTTGCTCTGTTCTATTACATTCACTTTACATACAAAATATATGTATTCAAAGGTCATTCTCGTTAACTGACTTATCTAAATTACGTTATTGACTAACGTGATTTAAGTCGACTATGATATACGAGAATCAGCGATAACAAACATTTATACAATCTAAAAGGGAGTCAGATCCCCGAACCCCATAGAACTTATTACTGATATACTTACTTACGCCTGTTACTCGTGAAGGAGCATAGGCTGCTTACCAGCATTCTCCATCCAACCTTGTCCTGGGCAATCCTTTACAGCTCATTCCAGTTGTTATTCATCCGTTTTATATCTGATTCCATTTCCCCACGTAATGTGTTCTTTGGCCTTCCACTTTTCCACTTCCATTCAGGATTCCAAGTTAGGGCTTACCTCGTGATGCAGTTTGGTGAATTCCATAATGTATGTCGTATCCAGTTCTATCGTCTTTTCCTAATTTACTCTTCAGATGGAAGTTGGTTTGTTCTCTGCCACAAGAGGCTGTTGCTGATGGTATTCGGTCAATGGATGTTGAGTATCTCGCGTAGACAGCTATTTATCAATACTTGTACCTTCTTGATGGTGGTTTTTGTAGTTCTTTAAGTTTCAGCTCCATACAGTAGAACTGCCTTGATATTCGTATTGAAGATTCTCACTTTGATATTGGCTGAAAGTTGTTTTGAGTTCCATATGTTCTTCAATTGTAGGAATGCGGCCCTTGCTTTGCCGATCCTCGCCTTTACTTCTGCATCGGATCCTCCTTGTTCATCGATGATGCTTCCCTGGTATGTGAAGGATTCTACATCTTCCAGAGTTTCGCCATCAAGAGTGATTGGATTGCTGTCCTCCGCTTTGAATTTGAGGACCTTGGTTTTCCCTTTGTGTAAACTGAGGCCTACTGATGCAGAGACTACTGCTACACTGGTTGTCTTCATCTGCATCTGTTCGTGTGTACGTGATAGGAGGGCTAGGTCATCTGCGTAGTCCAAATCTTCTAATTTGTTCTGAGCTGTCCATTGTATTCCGTGTTTTCCCTCAGATGTCGAGGTGTTCATAATCCAGTCGACCACCAGAAGAAAGAGGAAGGAGGAGAGTAGAAAATCTTGTCTGACTCCGGTCCTCACTTCGAATGCATCTGTCAGCTGTCCTCCATACACGACTTTGCACTGTAGTCCGTCGTATTTGTTCCGGATAATATTGACAATCTTCTGAGGAACTCCGTAATGTCGAAGAAGTTTCCATAATGTCCTTCTATCTACACTGTCAAATGCCTTTTCATAATCAATGAAGATGATGTACAGTGACGAGTTCCACTCAACTGATTGTTCGAAGATGATCCGTAATGTTGCACTTTTGGTCTGTGCACGACCGGAATCCAGCTTGTTGATCTCGAAGTTGGGCGTCTACTGCATCTTTCATCCGGTTCAGCAACAGATGTGGACGTATGCTGAACTCATTAGGGAATTATTATTATTATTATTAACGAAATTTTGTCATTTGACAAAATGAATGAAGAAATACCATTTATATGTTCTGTAACTGACTGAATATCATTGTTTTAGTACAAAGCATACACGTTTATATGTTTCTAAGGTGGTCTAGCTTTAATTGACTCATGAACTGAAGTATTAAAACTACTACAATCTCCACAAAAACCCTTTTTGTCAAATAATGATTATGTGTTCACTAGTGACTTGCTTCAAGATGAATATCCTTTAATTGTGGTCTGTCAGTCAGTCAGTCAGTCAGTAACAACATAGAACTTCGTACGTACGCACATCAATTTGAGTTGCCATTCAGGTCGACTGGAGATCGTGGGAAACCGGAATGTGGCTGAAGACTAGTTGAACGGATCCCTAAAGTGTTCTGCCCATCGATTCAATTTCCTGGATTGAGAATGAATAATATGTGCATCTTTTCCGAGATAGTTTCGTTAAAAGTTGGGTTCCTAATATCGGTTCTGATGAGTAGCCGTGACTAATAGAATTCAATGATGTATTTTGTGTAGCAATTACTCACTGAAGATAACAATGAACGATCGTACAGTATTGTGTGCTGATCAAATTTAAACATGAACATCATTAAATACTGACTATAGATTCAGTGTTCACAAGTGAGACCGACAGATTCTGAGTTCGAATCTCACATTTTACATATAACTAATAACCTTAGCAACAACAACAAAATATAGTAAATATAACTATAACTTATATTATATAGATAGTAACTAATGACAAATAAATAAAATCAATTGTACTCACTTGATTGATTAATTGAATCAATAATATCTCTTTTTTTAAAATTTCTTTTCTCCGATCCTTCATTTATATCCCTTAGTAACTCATTATAAATATAGTTTGATTGGATATTGATTAATGATAAATTTATATTAGTTTCATTATGATTATGACATAAATTTAAATATTTACATTGACAATATTCATACCATAATGTGATATTCTCATTCGAATGTAATGCATATAAATCAATCGTTTGTAATTCTAAACTTTCAATCATTTCATCCCATTTTAATGTAAATGGTGTATAACATAAACCAGGATTATCATAAAAATAGATACCATATTGTACAACAGCTAAAATAATCATGAAGAAGAATAAGAGGAAGAAGCAGAAGAAGAAACAAATGTAATAATCGGAATGGGTTTTGTGGAGATTATTTTTAGAAATTTCACAAGTTGAAATCATGAGTCAATTGAAGCTAGACCACCATGGAAAACCTGGAAGCACTGGACAGCCGTTTCGTCGAGGTATGGGACTCTGCAGTAGTGCGCATCCACGATCCTACACCCCACGGGATTCGAACATAGGACCTACTAATTTCGCGCGCGAGCACCCATCCACTAGACCACTGATCCGTCATCCAGGGGTGTTAATGTCTAACATCAACCAATCTACGAAGTTGCGCCACTGTAAACCATTGTCTTCAGTAAGCTGATATCTCACAACAGACCTGGTTGAACTCCACTTGTAACGGCATCTCACTAGAACTCCAGGAGTATCTCCTGAAGTCAGTCACTAGTGAGCAGTTGATTATTATCAGAATGGGTTTTGTGGAGATTTTTTTAGGAATTTCACAAGTCGAAATCATGAGTCCTGTGTTCGAATCCCGCGGGATCGTGAATGCGCACTGCTGAGGAGTCCCATAATAGGACAAAACGGCCGTCCAGTGTTTTCAGGTTTTCCATGGTGGTCTAGCTTCAATTGATATTTAAGTGATACTAAAGTGATCTTAAGAGTGTTCATTGAGTTAGTCAGCTATAACATAAGACTAGCTACTTATATGTATCGGTTCAAGTTGCTATATCTCATTAGTACAACAAGATGAATATTAAATCCATAGAAGTATTTCATTCAATGGTAGTAATGGTTATAACTTGTGGGTTTGTGCCCCTATCAATCTGTAGCGTAATGTGATAATATCAATTGGTGAATAGTGAACTATCGATCGGATCAATGATGCACAAAACAGGTAGAATGCTTATTAGTCCTGCTTAACGCCTAACCGAGCCAATTAATTACACAACACCAATTTCAGCCTCTGCAATATGAATTATGTATTTCAAATATACTGGGTTTATATACCAACCAAACAGACCATATCGTATCATAAAATAGGAAACAACATTTGTATAAGTTGCCATACCTCATTAGTACAACAAGATGAACATCGAATTCATAGAAGTAGTTAATTCAATGATCGTAATGTATAAAAGAAAGATTGCATATAAGGATATAGTACCGGAAGAAAGAAAGATATGAAGCTATTTTAATCTCATAGTTTGACGGAGGACAAAGAGTGTATACATCTACGCCATTGTGATCGATTCTGAACCATATCACCCAGAGTCTTCAACCATTGTTTACGACAGTTACGCGGACCTCAACCAAGTAGTCTGCATCTACCAACATGGTTAAGACTAGAAATTAGTGACTTCATGAACTGATGCCAAGTACTGGTTTGGTCGCTCCTAACTTTCTTCCAACCATCCCCAGCACTAGTCAGCATTGCTTATCGTGGTAATCGGCGGTTAGGTATGTGTAACACGTGGACTAACCATCTTAGTCCATGAAGATTCACAATCTCACCAACTGACTTACCATTATTCCCCAAACCTCACTATTACTTACCCGGTGATCCCATCAGATGTGAGCAATATTTTTAAAGGCATCTATGATCAAATACTAGTAACTTACACATACCTTTAACACCACTCGAAACCACTGTATTCATAAATAAGTTCAAGTCCCTGTATAGAATACAAATAGATCCATCTGAAAACTTCTAAATAGGATATAAACACTGATCATAAATTCCACAACTGACCACATATCCATTCATAACACTCATTATAATACAGAATAATCAAATCATCATTCTGAATTCATACTTACATATAAATGATGTCATTTCTAAGGATTGTAAATGATTAAGACTATACCTCGGTTTCACATTATCATTCACTGATATCATCCATTGTGTTGATGCATTTGACGATCGTATTGAATCATTAGCGTAATCACCATTCTGTTCAACTACTTGTTTATAATTACTGATAACAAGTAATGCAACTTTTCTTGATTTAAATAATATCCATTCATGACCTTTAATTAATTTTAAACGAGATAAACGTAATTCTTTACGACCAACTCCATATATAATTAAATAACCAGATATTTCTTCTATATTATCTAACAAGGTTACATCATCATCTTGAAAGTAAACCAAGAAAACAAAAAAAAGCAGAGAAATTTTGATAGAATACAAAAAAAAACACTCAGTTTGGTATGAGCTACTTATATCCATAATATAAGTAGTATATAACGATAGTCAGGCAGAGAATGTATTTTGTGACGACGGACCACAGGTGAACTTGAGGAAGTTATAGGAGGCTCGGAAGGAGCCGAAGATATTCCATTCAATCAACTTTCGGAAGAATATTCTAGAATTCCTACGTGCAGCTTCCTGATTGGACAATGCTAATACCCCCCCCCTGTATGCGGATTGGAGGACTGTAATGATAATTTTCTTCTTGCTAAAAACTATAAATATCTGACAATTTTGTACTATAACTGACACTGTCTGGGAATAATAATCCTTTCATTAGTCTTCTATCTTCTCATTGCGTCTTAGAATGGTTTTGAAGTTCTAGTGCTCACGTTTTACGCGGTAAACCAAGAACAACCTTCTAGATATAACATATTTCAATAGAAGATCGACAAGGGAAGAACGGAAACAGAAAGCAATTGGTTTGAAAATGCAGGAACAATGAATTGATATTTACAAAAGGAACAATGAAGTTTGAGACAATGGATTGATATTTTGCAAATAACTATTTATTGTATTGTTCTCAGATTTAAGTGAGATGTTGTGTAATTTTGTGTGTCCAGTACATTCGATTGGCTCTACTCGTGTTCTTGCTCATTCTAATGGGTATTCAGACGATTCATCTTTTAATTTAATCAGTGTAAAATTAGTATCAGAAGAGGTTTTTTGTGTATATTATAGGGATTAGAATAGCTGAGATCATGAGTCAATTGAAGCGAGACAACCATAGAAAACATGAAAGCACTGGACGGCTATTTCATACTATTTTGAAACTCCTCAACAGTACGTATCAATGATCCCGCTTCGCGTGAATCGAACCCATGAATTATAGGGCTTGTGCGCGAACGCTTAACCTTTAGACAATTGAACCGGCCTCTCAAATTAAACAAATTACGTAACAGAATATTCATTCTAATCTTATTTTTATCTGAGACATCATCATAGATTTGGATTGAGATCATGAATCGACCAATGTTAGACCAATATTGTAAACTAGAAATCACTGGACGTCCGTTTCGTCCTATCGTGAGTCTCCTTAGCAGTGTGCATCTACGATCCTACACGTTGGATTTGAACCTAGTACCTTCAATCTCGTGCGTGAACACTTAACCTATAGACTACTGAGCCGGCTGCCGACGGTTTACTGATAATCATCATATCTTTGTTCGTGTTAATAATTTTAACCATGTTTTCTATCTATTCTCATCAATTAATTATTATCATTCACTCATGTAATCTTTTAAGTACATTCTCCTTATTTGCCTATTTATGCATCCTTGTGAGATTTTGTCCATTTTCTGCTTTATACTAAGTTACACAAAGTTATGCTTAGAATAAACGATCTCATTCAAGATAGTTTCATTCGCATGATCCTTATATTTGAATAATTGAAATATAAGTATCTTGTTATTATTTCCCTAATTGAATTTTCATTATCATAGTTGTGAAAATGGAGGGTTATATTTAAAATTAACTATGAGACCTATATTTCTGTGGAGTCAACCAAGAGTTACAGTCTATGGTATTAACGAATCCAGCTTACTGACATTTCTTTCATCTAAATGAATAAGTTATAAGCAAAGATGGATAGTGACTAGTAGTGGAATTCACGACGTATGTTTCATCTCATTTGGAAAGATTCAAGTAAACAATACCAAGTGAATTTAAACTTCATCTCATTACACAAGCAATCAGCTATCAGAACTCAGTAGTTAAGTGAATAACACGTTTGCATTTGAAGCGAGTAGTACTGGTTTCGAGTTTCAGTATGAACATCAAATCTGAGATGCAGATACATCCAGTTCTAAATATGACAAGATGACGAGCATCATGAATCGCACTGTCAACCAACATCCATCTTTGCTTATAATACTTGTAATTTAAGGTAATATTAAGTAAATCTGCACAGGATACAAATATGTCAATAAGAGATTGATCAATTGCAGACCTAAATATTCATGGAAAGATTCATGTAAACAATACCAAGTGAATTTAAATGAAGGTGGCTTTTAATCCCTGAATACGTCAGTTATAGGTTTAAAGTAATTTTTTACTGTAATGATCTTTGAACTGAAGCACTTAAACAAGACCTCTTTCAATTAGACTAATAACTATTCTAGTCTTAATAATTTAGTTCTCATATGAGTCAAACATTTTCTTTGAGTATTCTAATTCACCTTCCTGATTAGCAACTGTATGTACATGTACCTTGGTGTGACGGACAATATTCAGGTATCTCTTTTTAAAATACCAACAGACGATGTCATTTATCACCAACCACTTCTATATCATATTATTTTTACATTATATTGACAAATCCTGTTTATAATAGTATTCATTTATATTCGTACATACATATTTGAGGAGTTTCATACTAGGACGAAACTACCATCCAGTGTTTTTAGGTCTTTTATGGTGGTTCAGCTTCAATGGACTCATGATTTCAACTATTACATCACTACAATATCCACAAAACTCCTCTCTGATATTTCGATACGTCGTGTACTGTCATCGATCGTTTGCACCATGCACCAAACCAATAACATTCTAAGTCTTAATTTACATCACTGATTGTAAATTAGAGTAAAAATGTCTAAAATTTGAAATAAGCTATATCTAACATTACGTTTTGATTGACCAACACTACAAATTTTTCATTAAGTGGCTTAAGGTATCATAAAACTTCCTGTGAACGAATGAGTTAGTTATTACGTTTGTTTAGATCTTTAAGGCTTAGAGTTAAGTAAATCTGAAGCGACATATTGAAGCATAATGATTTCATTAAATCAAAAATCGCATTTAAATTTTACGTTATTGATAGATAACTCGTGGAATTTACAAGTCTATGGTATATACTACTTATGTTGACAGATATAAGTAGTATGTAACACTAATCTCAAATTAAAAACTCTGGCACCAAATGGCTAAAAAGACTAAATTGAATAAGAAAAAGTGGAACGGATATAGAAAGAAATCGTATTTGGTTGTTCACACCTATGTTCTTGTTCATTAGAAGTCGTTTACAATGTATCTTAGCACTTTATATCGAACTGTAGTATCTTCCATTATTATATGACACGATGTCGAAGATCACAAACTATCTACCATAGTTTTTACTGTTACAAAAACAATAGGATCAAAAAAAGAAGCTTATTCGTTAGGATTGTTAACATGAACTGTACATTTTATAAATGATTTAAGCATCTAATTCGATGAGAGGGTTTTTTAGGAATAGGATACTCTTAATACGTTCACTGATATCCAATAGTAAGAAATCTCGAATGAAAACAAGACAGCTATCTACGATTTCCTATTTTTAAATGTTTGTTGATTGAGATCATGAACCGATTGATGTTAGACCACCACTGAAAACCTGGAAGCACTGGATGGCCGTTTTGTCCTATTGTGAGACTCCTCAACAGTGCACATCCACGATCCCGCTCGTGGGATTCGAACCCGGGGTCTTCAGTCCCGTACGAGAACACTTAACCTACTGGACCACTAAGCCGGCCGACATCCAATGGTGTTAATGTCTAACCTTTACCGATTCAACAAAATCGCGCAACCATCTTCTATTGTACTGAGATAGATACTTGTCTCTAGCCGACACGGATCAGCTCTACTGGTCACGGCTTCTTAATAGAACTTCGAGAGTTCCCTCAATACAGGGGTTGTGGAGATTATCTCCTTTCATAATGTAAGTTCTTACCTTCATCTGTATACTATTACGTAACCTTGGTTACTAATTATCATGGTAAAAACCAATTACCCTTTATTTATTGTTATAGAAAACATTATTTTACATAATTTTTTTAAACTTCACTTCATATATGCACTTTCAATTGTAATTGTCATTGTAATGATTCATCAAGTGTATATGTGTTAACAAGGTGTTTCGACCAGTATTCCCAATATATTAGCATATCCCATATTAGATAATATGCATAATTCATTCTAATTTACATAATATATTATACAAGAAAAGATACTTTTTGTTTGAATGGTTCATGATGAATGAATACTTTGGGTAGTTAATAATGTGCATGTTTGGTTAGAGTAATCATGTATGGTATGATATCTCTTTGTTCTCCCGCTTTGTTCTTCGGAACTATTAGCTAGCACATCCTTTATTAACATTTTATCATAAAAGATCAACTATTATTTATTATTTTGAATCAATTAAATACGAAATGTATGTTATGTAATGTATTAGATATTTCTAACCATCGAAGTTTTTATGATTCTATGGAAGAAATTTTATATTAAGCATAGATGGATAGTGGCTAGTAATGGAATCCAGGACGCGGGTTTCAAGCTATTTGGTACTCGTCAACTGGATATGTTTGCATCTCAGAGTGAACCTTTACTCTGGAAATCGAACCCAGTACCGTTCGCTTTAAACGCCATCGCTTTATCTACTTAACTACTGAGTCCTGATAGCAACCTGCTTGTGCAATGAGGTGAAGTTTCAGTTCACATGATGTTGTTTTACTTGTATTTTCCCATTGTTATTTAGGACTACAATTGATCAGTCTCTTATTGGCATATGTGCATCGTATGCGAATCGCCTCTCTTCAAACGCGAGTGGTACTGGGTTCGAATCTCGGAGTGAACATCAACTCTGAGATGCAGGTACATCCAGCTGACGAGTACTAAATAGGAAGAAACACGCGTCCTGAATTCCACTGCTAGCCGCTATCCATCTTTGCTTAAAAAGCTTGTGACTTAAGGCTATATCAAGGCAATCCACACAGGATGCACATATGCCAACATGAGACTGATCAATTGCAGTCCTGATTAGCAATGCGAAAATACAAGTAAAACAACATCAAGTGAATTCCAATCTTATACTAGTTGAAAAATAGATGAAACACAACATAACAGAATGTTAGTCACTGATTATGTGTACTGAATTGGAAAGTGGGACATTCCTTGTCACAAATCGAATAGTGATTTAAAGTTTGTACATTGAAATTTGGAATTATGTATTCGTAAATTCTTTTAAAATAGGTCAGATGAACTAATCTTTGTCAAATTCATGAACACGTTACGTTTCCTTATATTTTGTCGGTATTTGTTTTAATTACCTTGTATGATGGTATTCGTCAAGATTTGACTTCAGTTTATGATTCTTTTTTGTGAGTCAGGTGTAGTGATGGATGGAGATTTCTTTCCACTGTGATTCATCTTACTTATGGATATTGAGGAACTTCGGATCCTCCAGTAAGAACATGACATATATATCACAACGTCAATATCCTCACTTACTTACGCCTGTTAATCCTCGTAGAGGAGCATTCTCTACCCAATACTATAGTGGACAATCCTTTACAGCTCTTTCCAGTTTCTTTTCATCCTTTTCATATCTGCTTCCAATTTTCAACGTGGTGTGTTCTTTGGCCTCCCACTTTTCCGCTTCCCTTCAGGATTTCAATTGAAAGCTTACATCATGATGCAGTTAAATGATTTCCATAATGTATGTCCTATCCATTTCCAACATTTCATAATTTCCTCTTCAGATGGAAGATGGTTTGTTCTCTCTCACAGTAGGCTGTTGCTGATGGTATCCGTTCAACAAACAGTGAGTATCTTGTGTAGACAGTTATTTATAAATACTTGTACTATTTAGATGATGGTTGTAGTAGTTCTCCAAGTGTCATCTCTGTACAGTAGAACTGTCCTGACGTTGGTATTGAAGATTGTGACCTTGAAGTTGGTTTAAAAATGTTTTGAGTTTCATATGTTCTTCAATTGTATAAATGCGGCCCTTTTCATCTGCATCCGATAGTCCTTGTTCATAGATCATGCTTCCCAGGTACGCGAAAGATTCCAAAGCTTCCAATGTTTCTTCATCAATTACGATTGAGTTGATGTTTTCCGTGTTGTATTTGAGGATCTTGCTTTTTCCTTTGTGTATGTTGAGGCCTGCCGATGCAGAGATTGCTGCTACACTGTTTGTCATCATCTGCATTTGTTCATGAGTATGTGGTAGAAAGGTTAGGTCGTCCAACAACCTACATTTCCAACTTTTGTCATTGACTATGACAATAATCCATTACTTACAAATATATTTATCTTACTTTTTGGCAGAATTAAACTCTACTGACCAAGAATGCTTACTACAACATGAGGGATTCATATCGAAGGTGGTTATCCATGAATACTTGATCATTGTTCATTTGGATGATTGTGGAGATTAATTCAATTTAGATATAGTTTTCTTCACTGAATGATTTATTGTTTTTTTTCGGTCAAGCTTTTGTGATATTTCAATTTTATTAATAAATTAAATAGACTTTTGTTGACAAATGAAAGACAGTGTTAAAGACACTAGGAATAATTAGTACTTTGTTAAACTTGTGGTGTATGCTACTTATATAGACAGACATAAGTAGTATGTAATAGCAATCGGAAATGGAAACTATGACAGTAGAAAGCAAAGAAGATCAAGTTGACGAGAAAACAGAAACCGAGATAGAAAGGAATTGTGACTTGGAAGAATCATACAGAATATGAAGGAGAACTGGTTCTTATATTTTAAAAAGATACTCTATAACTTTGTATTGGGATACATTGATTCAATAGTTGGCTTTTACCAATGAATACAGTCAAGCTAAAAGAAACAATTGTATATTGTTTGCATTCATTGTTTCAAGTAATCAATACCTGGAGCATTTGTGGTGTATGCTACTTATGTCGACAGACAATGGAAGAATCATGAAAGATGTAGGGGATAGTTGATGGAAGATTTGCAAATGAAGTAATTAATGTATGGTTCTTAACATTTTGCAAAAGAACTCTTTAAAAGTCAGGTTGTCCTCATTTGGGTTTCCATTCATTACACATTCACTCCTATAATGAAAATATACTATTTTTATCTTACTCAAGCGATATCTTTCTTAACTATGAAAAATTAGATTCGATATATTCTGTTTTTATTGAATTTTCATCTTCGGAATTTCCAAAGAGACCTCGATGACCTTTGATCGATCCATGATGGAATCGTTGGTGAACACTGGTGAGAAGTCCCTTACTAGGAAGAAAACCAATCAATACTAACTGATCCAAGAAATTGGAGTTAGACGTTAACACTGTTGGATGTCGGTTCAGTGGTCTAGAGGTTAAGCGTTCGCGCGTGAGATCGAATCTCACGAAGTGGCATCGTGGATGCGTACTGATGAGGAGTTCTACAATAGAGCGAAACGGAAGTCCAATGCTTTCAGGTTTTCTATGGTCGTCTAGTTTCAATCGACTCATGATCTTAACGATCCACGAAACCTCTTCTGATACTAATTACTAACTGCTTGTAATATCTCAAATACGAGAGGGACTAAGTCAATAAAATCACGGTAATGAGTAATATAAATAATAAACAACTAATATTTACGATGATATGCGTTTTCTTGTCATTTATATTAGGAACTGGAATTTATCTGTCTCTAATGTCAGATGATCATACTGACCGAACTGCTTCGATATTGCCATTTAGCAACAAGTCCTTGGTAAAACTGATCTATCTGTATTAAAACAACTTAGAATATATGTTTCATTCTATCTGAGATACTTCATTTAAATGTATCTGGATTCAAATGTTGATGTTTACACTAAGATTCAAACCAAGTACTTATCACCTCAAAAACCAATATATTATTCACTAAAATCGGTTATCCATTATCTCATAGTGAATATCAGCTCTTGAATGTAGATACATTCATTTGACGAAATTCAAATAAGACGAAACACGGTTTCTGAATTCGAATGTTATCCACAATCTAGATTCATTGAAATCATACATACATATCAATGGTACTTGATTCAAAATTGAAAGTAACCATCGAATAATCACTAATGATACTTTAAAACTAAAATGAAACTTCACAAATTGAAATAATGAGTCAATTGAAGCTAGACTACCATGGAAAACCTGGAAGCATTGGATGGCCGTTTCGTCCTAGTATGGGACTTCTCAGCAGTGCGCATCCACGATCCCGCATCCCGCGAGATACTCCTGAAGTTCTAATGAGAAGCCGTTACCAGTGAAGTTCAACCAGGTCTGTTGTGAGATATCAGCTCGCTGAAGACAATGGTATACGATAGCGCAACTTTGTGGATTGGTTGAAGTTAGACATTGACACCGTTGGATGCCTGCCGGCTCAGTGGTCTAGTTGGTTAAGCGCTCACGCGTGAGACTGATAGGTCCTAGGTTCGAACCTCGCCGGGATGCGAGATCGTGGATGCGCACTACTGAGGAGTCCCATACTAGGACGAAACGGCCATCCAGTGCTTCCAGGGTTTCCATGGTGGTCTAGCTTCAATTGATTCATGATTGCAACCTGTGAAATTTCTAAAATCTCCACAAATTCCTTCTGATAAAATGAAACTATTGACAAGAAGAAATCTATTTACAAAATATGTATAACTGAAAAACAAAAAAAAACACAGATTTGTCTCTTACCTTCATCTACCCCGGATACAATTAAATTACCCAAAATATGAGTACAATTTGGATTGAAATTTTTCATTAAAATTTTCCATGGCAACGAAATATCTCTCCAAGTATATTTACTTTTACATACTATAATGAAATAGAGAAAAAAAGAAATACATACAAAGTATCATAAATTATTCGTTTTTTTTTCTTATGAAGCAATTATTATCATTGATTTACTATTAAAGGTAATGATGGTGTGGTGTATGCTAATTATATTGACATAAGTAATATATGATGTTAGTCGTGAACAGAAGGTCTAGCAGCAGAGAGACAGGAGAATCGAACAGTAACGAATGGAAACACGATGCAATTTGTATGAAAAATGTAAGAACAATGAAGTCTGAGTCATTTTGAGACAATTGGTGGACATTTTGCAAATTAAGGATTTACTTTATGATTGTTAGATTTTATTAACAAGTCCTGTAATTTTGTGTCAGTTATATTCGATTGTCCCCACTCGTGTCCTGTTCATTACAAGGGAAGTTGTCAATTGCCGGTTTTCTATACCATGGAACAGTATTACTTCTTAGATTATCTGTATAAGAACCTAAAGGATAACTGAATAAGGCCGATAGTACATGATCTTACTATGAGAATTTTATAATATGTTAGCTTCGTACTTTAAAAGAGGCTATTGTCAGAAACAGTGTAAGTTCGAATAGAACATTTTTAGTGTTGATGTTTTCTAAATCCCTCTTCGAGTTATCAGAAACTAGCATCTCTTCAAATGCTGGTTACCTGACGGAAACATCTTACTGCTATCATACTGCTGGACAGTAAACAGTTCAACATCGCCCTCTGGTCATGAGTTTGGTGCTTTTAGTCTTACCGTTCTTTAACCAGTCTGGCTGACTTGACAGGTAGTATAGCTTGATTGGTTAATTACGACAGGCAAGTCCAATAAATCATGTCAAGGTAAACGTTACCGTCGTGACAAGATGTCAGCGTAGAGTCAGTCAGTCAGTAACAACGTAGAACTCCGTACGTACATACATCAGTTCGAGTTGCCACACCACATTAGCACAGAGATGCAGTTGTCGACCGAAATTCCGTAGTGGTAGAGGTAGTGAGAGTATAAGCGGTAATTGGAAAGATTAGGATTTGAAGATGTTATTTAAAGAGTATAATCCAGTGAAATAAGTTTGGGAAGAGAAAAAAGAGGCAAAGAGGATTCAGGAGATTAGAATTTGGGAGAACACAGAGAGTGGATGCACCTGCACCATTGCAAACGATTTTGAGCCATGTCATTCAAGGTATCTAACCATCAGTTGCTATCATCTCGCGGATCCCAACCAGGTAGTCTACACTTACCAACTTGACTCAGTCCACTTGTCAGTGACTTCATGGACTTGTGCCATGGTTTGGTCTGTTCGCCCCTAGCTTTCTTCCAACCTACTCCTATACCACTGAACATCGCTCGCCGAGGCAGTCAGTCGTTAGCTTAGAACTGTTGAATATTTCATGTTCTCTTTAACAAGGAGCTGTTCTATCATGAAAAGAACCAAATTCATAGTATATATACCTACTGTATTACATAAGAATGTTAAATCCACTTTTATATAAGGTAGATGATGTGCCTATTCTCAGCAGTCTGAAACTAGAACCAATGTGCTCTTTGATGGTATGTTTCAAGAATTAAAATGGTTTCTTTCCAGAAGTAATTCATCGTTTTATTGTGAAGTCAATGAGAACTTGAGTTTTTGTGGTAGCAAACAATACGGATAAAGTAATTCGTCTGGCAAATATCTGGGATGTCTTAACAATCACAGAGCTGATGGCTGTGAAATTAATCAAAATGAAGGTGAAGAGATAATTCAGTGAAAATATTTAGATGAGAAATGAAGATAGCTAGATAAATTCGTAGTTATTAAAACAGATCTCATTCACTGTAAGACAAGAAAATCTTGTATTTGGTCCAGTTTAAAGTCATGGGTTCATACTTTTAGAAGAAACTTCCAAATTAAAAAAAACAGTTGTTCAATTCTTCTTGGTTTTCAGTTACTCAATAGTTGACGTCCATTCATACGTCTGCATCTTAAAGTTGATGTTTACTCCTGGACTCTAACCCAGTACTGTTTGATTCAAACATTATCGCGTTATCCACCTAACTATTGAGTTCAGATTGTCATTGACCTGCTAAACAGGTATGCGTTTCAAATCAATTTGATATGTATTGGATTATTCTGTCGTTGATATTTTGATTGAAATTGTTGATCAGTCTTGGTTGACATATGACCATCCAATGCGGATTGCCTCGGTAAAGCCATTATATTAATTTGTATCGTAATAGCTTTATCAAGGCAATCTGCATAGGATGTACATATGTCAAGCAAGACTGATCAATAATTCCAGTCAAAATATTAACAACAGGATAATACAATCCATGTCAAAATGAATCAAAACACTTATCTCTACTTTCGAGTTGCCTGATCTGCCAAGGGCGCTGGAACAGTGAATGATGCTATTGTTGTATGCTAGGTTCAAAGACAACTGTATGCTATATGTATGCCAATCAGCCCCGTTATTGTTCCTATATATGACTCCTTCTAATATAACCAAATTTCATGGTGATATAACTTGTGTACATCAGACAGGAATAAGACTATTAATTTTCAAACTATTCAAAAACAAATAAATTAACTATTTATAAATCCGTCAGGGAGCATCAGTTCCCTCAGAATTAAAGGTACACCTTGCTGACAACTGCCATGTAATATGAAACCTAGGTTCAGGGTTTCCTGCTGACTACCTTCAATCAATATCTTATCGCAACATAGTGCACGTAATGTTGAGCCACCTAGACTAGTGATCATAATGCAGCTTGGCCGATAGGATACGATCTGCACACGCATTATATCGATCAACAATTAGTGATCAATCAATTGTAACTATTTACAAATCTCTGTAAGGAAAAACTTAATGATAAGAAATCTCAAGATGTAAAAATTAACTTCGAACTTTGCTTAAGCCATCAAAGTGAATCATTGAAATTAGAAGATTGATAAATAGACTGATAGGTCCTGGGGTCGAATCCAGCGGGGCGGGGTCGTGGATGAGCACTGCTGAGGAGTCCCACAATAGAACGAAACAGTTATCCAGTGCTTCCAGGTTTTCCACGATGGTCTAGCTTCAACTGACTCATGATCTCAACTATTGAGATTGGTGAAGCTTTGAATGTATTCCATAAGTACACCATTTTTACCAATGCTTCATCAAAACGATAAACATTACGATACGTTTAATAATAATAAAATTAAATTTATTTACAAATTAGAGATTGATTGAGACCATGAATGGACTAATATTAGGCCACCTGGAAGGACTGGATGACCATTTCGTTCTAGTATGGGACTCCTCAATAATGAGCATCCACGATGCTGCATCGAGGGGACTCGAACTCAGCACTTTCAGTCTCGTGCATGAACGCTTAACCTCTGGGCCACTGAACCGGCTTCCATTAAGTGATATTAATGTCTAACTCCAACCAATCCATGAAATTGTACAGCCGTCCTCCACTGTCTTCAATGAGTGACTGCTTCATACCAGACACAGTTGAATTCCACTGGTCACAGCTTCTCACTGGAACTCCAGTAAATCCATGATGATGCTAGTCACCAGTGAACACATGATAATTATCAGTATAGGGTTGTTAAGATTGTTAAGTTTTGATTCAGATCATAAATATAGAAACAACTTTCAACTAAAGAGAAAATTAACAAAAGAATCTGATGATTAATAGGATATACATTATAGAAATCATTAGACTGCATTGTGAGACAAATTCGAACTGAGGAACTTGAAATGAAACAGAAAAAAAAGGGAGATCAAAGGGAAGCAGACATGAAAAGAATAAATAACAAGTGGAAGGAACTAGAAAAGAGTTTCCAGGACAGAATTGGATAAAGAATCGTGGTGGGCATCTTATTTTCCTTCACAAGGGATAACAGACGTCAATATGTATTATTGTTGTTTTGTTTTTTTCTATTTTTAACTTACTAACAAATAAACATTGTGAAAATGTTGTTTGATAAATTTCAAAATAAAAAACAAATCACTTAGTTTATGCTAAACAACTTCTTTAACTGTCTACATCAGACAATACACAAATGTCAAAAATAGTCTTCAAAAGCCGTCTTCATTTCAATACACTTGTTATTGTTTACATGAATCTTCCTATTAATGTTTAGGTCTGTAATTGATCAATCTCTTATTGACATATTTGTATCCTGTGCAGATTTACTTAATATTACCTTAAATCATAAGCATTATAAGCAAAGGTGAATGTTGGTTGACAGTGCAATTCATGACGCGTGTCACTTCATCCTATTTGAGACCGTTATATACTACTTGTGTGGATATAAGTAACACAAACCACACCAATCCTAATTCATACTTTATTCATATTATTCTATTATACATATTACATGATTCTTGACAGAATATTTATTCTGATTTGTAATTACACTATTTGATGGTTGAACACATGAATCGATTTAAGCTAGACAACCATGGAAAATCTGAAAGCACTAGACGGCTGTTTCGTTTTAGTATGAAACTTCTTAATAGTTCACATCCACAATCTCGCATAAAGAACTCAAACCTAGGAACTTCGGTCTCACGTGCGAACGCTTAACCTGTCGACCACTGAGCCGACTGGCATCCAACGGTATTAATGTCTAAATTCAACCAATCCACGATATTGCGCAACTATGTTCTATTGTGGGTAACTGCCTCACATCCACCCCACATGGCTGAATTTTATTCGTCACGGCATCTCACTAGAATTACTAGAATTATCTCTCTTTCTTTCATGCGAGGTTGTGGATGCGTACTGCTGAGAAGTTCCATATTAGAATGAAACGTCTGTACAATCCTTTCACGTTTTCAAAGGTGATCCAACAATAATCACTCCATAATTTTAATTAAAACTCAACAATCTCCACAACCCTATACTGACATTTAGAATTCCTGGAGTTCTAGTGAAGATATTGTTTAACCATGTCAGGTAGTAAGATTTCAAAATGTCATAATCTTCAATACATTAATAATTTAACCAATATTTTAATTGATATATTCAGTCAGAA